AAAACCCCCAAGATTCCCTTTTTTTTTTTTTTTTTTTTTACTCCATCATCTCCTTGGAAAAAAAAAAAAAAAAAAAACTGCCCTCTGTTTTTATTTTTGCGACCTTGTGGACGCAGCAGACACTGGGAACATTTTGAAAAAACCCAAAGCAGCCGCTGAAAGCATGACCATGCACTTGCTGTTGCCATGGTGATGGGAGGAGAAAAGGCAGGCGGATTGATATTCCAGTCACATGTGCTGACAGAGCAGCTGTTGCTTGGAGGGAGGTAGACGTGTGCGTGTGTGAGAGAGAGATTGATTGAGGTTGTCAAGGTCGTCAACAACAATTAGGTGTTGCAGCATCTCCGTTTCTTTTTTTTTTTTTAGCGTTTTATTATTTTTATTCTTTCTTCACTTTTGTGATTCTGCCAAAAATGTACTATTTAATATTCAGAGATGCACTGACAAGGCGTTTTCTGTCTTCAATCATGTTGTCTTTTTGTTTTCTATTCATTTCATTCATTTATGTATTTATTTATAAAATGCTTTAAAAACCAAAGGCACCCAAAGTGCTCTGCAGGGCAATCAAATAATCAATTACTTAGGACTTACCTGGTAAAATAAGGGTTAAAAATGGCGACAGTTTTGTTGACTGAGGAAGTATTTTACATGGGATCCCTACATTTTGTTTTGATGCATTTCCCTAAATCGCACGCTGTTGATGCGTTTATAGAACAAAAATGGTGGAAGCTCTTAGTTTTGATGCATTAAACAAATATCAGATATTTCCGTATCTGATCTGACCCATCAGGCCCAATCAATTAGCCATTTTCAGTCTTTGGCCGATTGATTGGTGCGTCTTTAATAGACATTGCCTTTTTAGAAAAATCCATTAATTCACGGTGTTTTGAAAAATGTATTATTTTTAAAATGAATCAATTTGAAAGTCTTTCTCATATCAACATGTATTTGAATTTGTATTTCAGGCCGTTTCCCATAAAATTGATCGAAACTGTCAAACACAGTTTTTGACTGCTAATTTTCAACGGTAGTACCAAGTTTTTCTTTTTTCCTGCATTTTCTGAGTTTGTCATCTTGTTCAAGTGAAATTAGGTCAAGTCTCATCACTATTCCCTGTTGTCTTTTGTTGACGTTAATTCGTAATCACATTTCTATTTGACTCTTTATCATTGATTATTTTAGGTTCAGTACAATCACAGCCATATTTTATAAATATATGAGCACAGAAAAAAAAACATTTTTAAATTTCTATTTACATAGGGGTGCCAGGTCTGATCCAAGGGAGCTATAGCGCCCCCTAGCTACAGCGGTGGAGCCGCCTCTGCTAATCTCAAATTTTTATGTGAGGGATCAGTTTTAAAGTAATAAAAAAACATTACAAATAGTTTTAGCAGTCTCATATAAAGATATCGGTTTTACAGTATCTTTTTTACACAAGGTTTTAACTCAAACATAATCATCTAATTCATTTTATTTTAAACAGTAACAGTTTAATAAGGGCTTTGGGTGGTCCTTATTTAACTTCCTCACTATGACTCTTTTTATCAGTGGAAATATTTCTAGAATCCGGAATTTCTTGTAAGTAAAATAAAAGCCTAATAACATCCTTTCAGCCAGCTGACAAGCAGTAAACATTAGTTTTCTACATTGGTCTTAATTCACAAGGCAAACAAACTCCAGGACTTCATTTGACATCTCATTAAAATGATTTAGACCGATTTAAGCTGAAAAACGTAGCTCTTTTTACTCTTTTAATCTCATCTCGTGGAACTGTTTCATCAGCTCAGTGTAGCCTTTGATTCTTCTCCTTTCTAAATTTGAAAAGGATTTTCCTTCACAGACTAATAATAATGATGATTTCAGTTTGATCAGTCATACAGCGTTTGTACAAAATTCCTTTAAATTCAACACTGAAATGCCCAACGTTTCTCTTTCTCTGTCTTGCAGGCGGTAGAGGAGATAACGGCAGTCCCATCATTGTGTTTCCAGAGTTTCCTGCATTTGGGGAAATCACGGACAGGGAGTTTCACAACGTCCTGAGCTATCTAACAAGTGTGCCCAGGTAGGGTCTGTCTCTGACCGACTGCAGCAGACGGAGGCAGAGGATGAAAATCCCAGCTGTTTTCCATACTTCCTGTTTCACAACTTGTTTTTCTTGTTTCTTATTTTTTGACGCTCATGACTTCATCTTCTCTTTCTCTTCATCCTGCTGCACTTTTGTGGTTTTTGAAAAAAATGATTAATTCATGGATAGGATGCTTCAAGTGAAAGCAAAGCTGAAAGTGATGATGTATCTTATTAATTAAACACTCAATAAATGTTATTTGTGTGAGTATAAAAACCTGCCACTAGGTGGCAGTGGATCACAGTACTGATCTCTGGTTATTAATCAAGAAGCTATAGACTCAGTGTTTTCTGAAAAATGTAAATCTTATTTAGATGACTAAATGCATCTACGTTTTTGCTCACAAGGTCAGATCAATTCAGAAAAGAAATGAGAGCCTCAGATATAAGACATTTTTTACCTCTAAATGTACCCATATATATATATATATATATATATATATATATATATATTTATTTATTTTATATATATATATATAATATATATATATATATATATATTTATTTTATATATATATATATATATATATATATATATATATATATATATATATATTTATTTTATAATAAATACACATAGTTATAATGTGTACAGTTCAGAATAATCTCTTAGTTTTTTGTTTTGTTTTGTTTTTTGCATTTCTCTCTGCTTTCCTAATCCTGCCTGAAAAGCAAAAGAGCAGAGCAAATATAGAAACTGCAGTGACTCTAAACTGGTTGAGACTGAATAATGCATACAGACAACCGAGCAGAAGCCGCTTCTGACAAAAATGCATGAACTCACATGAACTTTTGCGTCCAAGGATTAAATTCGGGTTTATATGGTCTCTGGAGAAAATCCAGATTTATCTGAGCTTCTAGTCACCTTTCATTTCCTTATTTGATACAGATGAGATGACACACAAGCATTGGGCGTTAATCTGAGAATTTGTAGTTATTTACACCATTTTTCTGACTCGCTGAGCAATGAAGGAGGAGGAGGAGGAGAGGGTAAAGCAGAGTATCCGTTGCTGTGCCTGCAAATGTGTTCATGCAGCAAATTTTCCTCAACGCTGCTTTGCTGTTAGAGCAAAGCTTTTTACAAATCAACCCATAGCTCAAGGTGCTTCTGTTCCCTTTGTTCTGAGAACCTGGATCATGTTTGCAGCAGAAGCATCACCACACCGATTTGATAAATCTGAAATAGAATCTTATATTTGAGGTTATCCCAGATTACTGTAAATAATATGAATCAATGACTAGAAAACCACTCTGCCTGATTTGGTATAAGTATCTACATTTTTTTTTTAGCAACATTTATATAATTTTGTATTTATAAACAGTCAGTTGAGAAAATATAAAAGTTGGTTTACATCAGTATGGCCCTACACAACTACAAAGAATAGAGAAAAACAGGAATTGTACTGCAGTAATCAATCTTTTGAGGCCAATTTGTGATTTAGTAAAGCCTCTGATTCAGGCTGATTTCTCTTTTGGAAATATTATGCAAAACATCAAAAAGTTTTTTGTGGCGTTGAGGTGTCATTAATTATTCATTTAGACAGTGTTTAAGTGTTTAAAAAAAAAACAACACAAAGTGATTATGAAATTTATATTTTCCATCTTATTTTAGCGGTTTCCCACCATCACAAAGACAACGGTACCCTGATTGGTCGTTTCAAAAACTGGGACGGGGTTAATGCAACAATAGCTTCTTGAGATCCTTTTCAGAAACAAAGCAAAATAATGAAATTGTTTAAGTTAAAATGCATGTTTATACTATAAATGTCAAAACATGTCAAATGGAAGAATCTCATCCGGGACGGAAACTGAGGCACTGCTTCTCCCCTGGAAGGATTCTCCTTCCTTAAATAACATCTTTTGTTACAATAGTTTTTCTTTTCTTTCCCTTAATAATTTTTTAATCACGTCAATATTTTTAATATAAATGGTCTTAACTGAGAGTTAACTCATTAACTGAGATCTGAGGATTATTTGCCCTCCTACATCTATCACTCTCTCCTAAATGGCTACTGTAGCTGTCTGTTGTTTACTTGCATCGCTCTGATTGGCTTAAGTCTTGCGTCTCCTGATCTCTCATTGGACAGTTCAATAAGGCAATATGGGCGGTGCATATGCTTAAATCTTTCATGGTCCAAAGCGTTATTCTCCATAAACTACAAACACAGCGGATCTCTCTTACCTAGCCTTTTGTTTAAACTCTTTCAACCTGGTAGTTTAGTCTGTAGGTGGAGATTGATGAATGTAACCAAATAATACTGGAAGCCATGCCTACATGGAGGCTGACGAAAGTGCCGGGAGGCTTGTGTGCACTTTTGCTGATCCTGCATCTTTGCTTTCAAACCATGCTGTGAGTTCTGCTGCTGGATCTCGCCTGTGTGGACGACGCGTTCCTCTCCCTTCCTTCTCGAAAGCGTGGGGCAGCTGTGTAGGAGGGAAGAAGTGGGAGGCCCCGGGGGGGGGGAGGCGGGGAATGCGAATGCTTACGGCTGATGGCCAAGAGATCTGGAGAAGCTTCAGAGCAGCTCTCTTTATGGACCGCACCGGCTGTCTGAGGAGATAAGGAGCAGCACAACAAAGCGGCGGTGCTGTCAGCAAGCATTTGGATTTGTTTTTTATGCCACACGGGGAAAACAATATGTATGTTTTATTTGTTTTTGCTTCTTTGAGCTGTGCTTTAAAAGGCCGTGTGATGGAGGGTTCCTCAACGACGAGCCCTCTATCTGGACCAATCTGATCGCCGCTGCTTTGTGTTGAACATTGTTCTCTGTTTTTGTTGCAGCTTGTCATCGACAGACGTAGGTTTCATCTTGGTGATCGATCGCAGACAGGACCGATGGGCGGCTGTCAAGGCGACTCTGCTTCGTATTGCGGTGAGTTTGTCTTTGTGTCTGAGCGTCTGCAGAAACAGTAAGAAATGGATATTTAACCGTCTGAGAAAGAGATCCGCACAATGACACACTTCACTCCCAGGGGTGGAAGGTATCTGTTATGTCACAGAGAGTTTGTAGGAGAACGATCGTGTTTCCGCCACAGTTTCACCTCAAATATCACTTCCACCCTGGAGGGTCAGCAGGAGTGTGATCACTTCCTTCAATGGGCTCCTGTTGCAGCCATGATGTGCTTCCAAAGCTGCAGGCGAAATTCATCCACATTGCTACAACTTTATTTTAACTTTATTTTTAGTGTTTATTGAAGAGAATTGCAATATATACATGGACACTGGAGAGCATACATTTTAAATAAATCTGATATTAGTTATTATTAACATTTGTCCATTTGTGGCCACTGTCTGCATTGAGCTTTTTCTCTAAATGAGAAAACCGTAGCAACCCTAAACTAAAGATATAAATTACTCTGAATGTTGTGCAACTTTTCCTTCAGCATCACAGCCAATCGCTGGATGTTTCTACTAAAAAAAGAAAAAAAATCTCACACAGTTCACTGTTTGGCTTAACTCTTTGTTCTCACGTATCAGCTTCTTATAAAGCCAGCATTTGTTTTGGTATAAACAACGAACTGTTGATTAGCAGTGTGGTTTAAAACTCTAATGACAGGGAGCAGCTTTGTGTTTATGAACACAGTGAAGCTTTTATTACTCCCCCGACGTATCACAGACCCGTCCTGCTAAAAACAAAAACCGGCAAAGAAAAAAGGATTAAAACCTGTGCTAATTTAATTTTAAGAAGCTGCTTTCCTCATGCTTCGTGTTGAGCCGATCTTCAGGTCAGTGAATCACACATTGGGGTAAAAAAAAAAAAAAAAAAAGAAGGATTAAATGCGCTATAAGGAGAATCAGGGTTGAATGCCCCCACCCCCACAGTTTATGGACCCGTAGCAGACTCGCTCAGTCATTTTCAATTTTATTAAGCCATTATTAATCCCACAGGGCAGACTTATACAGGTTGGAAGACTTTAATAGAGGGCATTCAGTCAGCCCTGCAACAATGTCCTGCTTCAGATGATTCAGCTGGGCTGCTAAATGCGAGATGATGAAAGCTGGAGAGGTTCTTCAGCCTCTCTGTGCTTGTGAGGATCTGTGTGAGGTAATGAGCTTTTTCTCCTGCTGACAAAATTATCTTTTAAGGGCTTCGGTTTTTCATCTGTGCATGTAGACATGTTTGTTTCATACAGACCTCAGTAATGCGTTTATGGACTGGTTTCAGTTAGGCCTTCAGTTGCGCTGCTGGTCCCCGATGTTCATCAGTAAGCTAGCTCTTCTTGGAGGTTTGTTTGTTTGCGTCTTGCTTTTGTCTGCCACCGAACAAAGAACCAAGAGCTACGAAGCTGTGACCGTTGGAGAGGGCAGCGATCGGACCCAAACAGCATGGCTACACGCTGCGGAAGAAGGCCAAGCGATTTTGTAGTTTTATTGCAGATCCATAGAGAAAAAAGTTCTTAGATTGAAAAGCGTCAACACACTCCAAGAAATCATGTACATTTTTCTGTTCGTCAGAAAAGTCTAATTATGTATTTTTGGTTGCTTTGAAGGTACTAGTATGGGTATTTCTTTAGTTAAAATTTAAACCTAAAGTAAACATCTGATAAAAATGAACTTATGTAGCACGTTAATTATATCTACTAAAGATATGGCTCTTTTGCTAAATAGATTTCATTAAAATAAAAAATAAAAACCTTGACAGACTTGCTTGACATGCCAATTATTCAGTAAAATGTTCGACACCGCCATTAATCATAAACACTCTGAGAGAGAGGCTATTCTTTGTTCTGCTGCAAAGTAATTTTGCATATCCCACAGACTGTACTCTTCATCCGTGAACATCCACTTTCTGTGCCTTCATCATCCTCCCTCCAGCCCCCCAGCAAGGACGAACCCTGAGTTGATTTATTAATTCAGCCACGAGAGGTTTTCCCCATGAGGTTCATATCAACAACGAATTTGCCGTCACGTCTGCTTAGGTCAGCGTTTCCAGCCCGTTCAAGTGCGGGGGCCAATCAGCCGAGCCGTGCATTTAGGGCATTGGCTAATTAGGGCCACTTTAACAGAAGCACAGCCTCAGGAAGGGAGACGAGCGCCTGGCCTTCGCTGCCATCCAGCCGCTTCCACAGCAGTCTGTCACTGGGAGTCAGTCGTGACATTTTAATTGGCGTTTTTACTTGGTTCACTGGCTTAGCTGAGTGGAAACACAGCATGATGAATATGTTTTATTTGAATGTGCTGAAAACATTTAGAGAAACAGGTTTTTTTTATCCATAAAGAGTTGGGTTTGTAATGAGAATATTATGAGGCTTTTTTTTTATTTATTTTACAAATTATAACCAAAAGTATAACAAACATAGAGAAAGAAGAAAACAAAGATTGGATGAAAAACATTAAATGTCTGAGTCACATGTGTCAAACTCAAGGCCCGGGGGCCAAATCTGGCCCACCGTAGCTTTTTATGTGGCCCTCTAGACTCCAAATTACATCAATAAGTCCTGCCAGTTTTTTGCAAATCTGCAAAATTTACACAAAATCAACAAATCTCCACATTTTTGTTCTGATTTTACTGCAGATTTCTCTCAAAATTGGTCAGAAACATTAATCGAGTTTAACTGACTGCTGCCTCAGCTGTACTTGATGTCAAGTTATAGTTCGTAATTGATATGATGAGTAATTAAAAAGTCACATTTAACATCATGCATTAGCGCAAATATCGTACAATTTCCTTACAAACATTTCTAAACTGGCACTACAAAATCTCAAATTTTGATTGCAAAAAACACTAAAACAATCACAAAATCCCGAAGGAAGAGCAATTTATTGACATTTTAACAGTTTAATTGGTTTTTATCAATATATTCTGGCACAACCGGCCCTTTAAGAACATTCAGATTTTTGATATGGCCCAAGTTTGACACTGCTGGTCTAAGCAGATATGAAAAGATACTTAAGTCACATTCCTCACCCCTCCCTTCATATCGCTCCATGTTGAAGCTCTGAGAAATAGTTTCAAATAGTAGCTAAAACAGAGACAGGAAGAAAGTGATTGCAGAGGCAGCAGCATCTATTCTGAAAATAGATGTGTTGGTGGAGGTGGATTATGTCTGCACTGTTGTACAAGTACAGGAAAAAAACAGAGTTTTGTGTCACCAATTATATAAAGATAAATATATGAAAAGTATTGTTTCTATTTCATAATCCACAGTCAAAAAAGAAAGAGAGAAAAAAAATTTATGAAGAAAAAATTATGTTTTACATTTCGAACATCTTCTGTTTCTTTAATTTGCCGCATCAAAACTTTTTTTTTTTCCAACTCATGAAGAAATAAATGCACATTTAGCATAGTTAGCTGATCCAGGCTTCTTAAGCTGGATTTAATTTTGATGCAAAGCACAGAACTGATAATCATAACTGTTTTGTTTGTGTCACAGATTATAACCAACGCTTTAAAAGTGTTGTTTTTGGTGCATGAACGCTCTGTCCTCATAACTCTTAAGTGATTAAAGATTTTTGATGTTTTTATTGTCAATAAAAACTTGTTCTTAATAGCTTACCTGGTTCAATAAAGTGATCCACTTTAATCTTGAAGTCATAAAAGCATTATTGGAAACAAAATTCAGCCTTTGTATGTCTCGTGATTTGTGAAATTTGTAAGAACTGCTGAAATTATCCTGAAATTTCAGTAGAATCTTCTGTAAATAATCATTTTAATCTGATTCAGATCTAACAATGTAATTTCAGGGCTCCTTCCCCGGGAACCTCCAGCTGGTCCTGGTTCTGCGGCCCACCACCCTGCTGCAGAGGACGCTCTCAGACATCCTCTTTAAGTTCAACAAGGATGAGTTCAAGATGAAGGTGCCGGTGGGTGTAGCCAGTTTTTCCAGTCACCGAATGCTCCGAGTTCTGTGTGTACTTAGTCTTTTCTACATGGCTTTTAACAGTAAAACCACAAATGAGAGCTAACATTTCATTTATGCAGACTTTTGAAAAAGTCTCTACTGTCCAAAAAGAAAAAAAAAAAGAATAAAACAGGAGTAAATGTATCAATATTCTGGAAAGACCTTTACAATTATCTGTAATAAGCTGGACCAGAAAAAGTCCAGAATGACTGGATGAGTTGATGAGTTTAAAATGTACGACTTTGGACACAGAAACAAGGGCATGTTTTACAAAAAAAAACTAAACGCAGCTGAGCTAATCTCATACAAGCCTGTGCTCTACTTTCCGTTTTGAGCTGTAATTAAATCACTTCCTATTCCAGACGTGAATGAAACAGTAGATTTGACACACATATTCGTGAGCTAGATATTCATGTAACACGACGAGGCCGGTGTTTTCACATCGGTGTGTGCGTGTGTGTGTGTGTGTGTGTGATGGGATACTTTCTCCTCAGGTGATCATGCTGAGCTCTGTGAGTGAGCTGCACTCCTACATCGACCGCACCCAGCTGACGCGGGAGCTCGGAGGAACGCAGGACTACTGCCACGAGAAGTGGATCTCGCACCGAACTGTATGAAAACACTCACAGCTGTAACGCTCTCAATGTCCATGACAAACAAAAGAATAACGTGCTGCATATGAGTATGCATAGACACAAGGAGGGTTTTTTACCTGGTGATGACATGCTTCAGAGTTGATTTACTCATAGGCTCAAGCAAATAAAAAGGTTTTCGTCAGTGAAATCAAAAAAAAAAAAAAAAGACGATGAGAATCTATGCTGAAACTCCCGATTACTTGCTCCAGGCCATTGAGGGATTTGCACTGATGGTGAAGAGAACAGCGCAGACCCTGCAGTCATTTGGGACGGAGCTGGCAGAAACCGAACTCCCAAATGAAATTCAGACGACGACCGTCCTGCTTAGCACACACACCAGCAAGAGGGACAAAATGAAGGTATCCCCCTTTCTAACACACACGTCGTCTCCTGCTCCCCCGTTTACTCTGGCTGATAAATGCTGTCCCGTGTCTCTGTGTTTATCCAGGAGGACATACTGGTTGCTCTGGACCAAGGCAGCAGGCTGCTGGAGAGCATCAATGAACCTGTAGTGAGAGACCCTGACCACAACATGAACCAGGACGAACTGGAAAACCTTGCAACAGTTCAAAGGTCAGACACACTCCTAGCTTAGCCACCAAAATCCAGACCCAGTTTGGACAGTTTCTTGCAAAAAGATTCAAACAAGTAGAAAATGAAGTAAAAGTTAGAATGTAGCTATTCATGCTATTCATGTCCTTAAAAATCAAGTGAGAAGAACTGCAACATAAACATTGTAATATAATGTTTCATACTGAAAAAAGCAGACCCAAACAATAAATTAACTTTAAAAGTTATTTTATTCCAATCTTTTTTTTTTTTTTTTAATGTGGGTCAAATATGTTGCAGATTTGTTACCTGCATAGTGATTAACATTTATTTGTGTTCATTTAGATGACGAGGGTTTACATCTCATGGGAGCCTGAAATGTAGTTTCTTACTAATTAGAATATCACATTAAATTCAAGAAAAAGGGTTTGATCCTGCAGGGCTCCACATTTTGTTTTACTGACCAGAACTTAAAATTTGACTGAAGCTACAGTCTGCCTCGGTGGGGCCCTCTGGTGGTCAGTCTCAAGAATGCAAGTTAAAGATACACAAACATCTCAAATCTCAAATCGGCTATGTCTATCTTTCATATTACATTTATCCTGTTTTGGTGTTAAAAATCGTTTTCACTGATTATATACGTTATGTTATGAAGTGACTAATTTACAGATTAAAGACAGTAGAGTAAACATGTATTTTTCTTATGTCAAACTTGATTTGTTTGCTTTTATCAGGAGATAGGAGAAAATGATCTGCTCTCATATCAGCAGGTTTGATCTCCAGATAACCTGCATATTCAGATATAGACAAGGACTATCACACAAAAAAATGCAAGCCCATTATATTTTCTATTTAATCATATTTTTCTCCAATTATCAATTGACTGCTTCAATTATTCAGACTGCTGTCTCAGCTGGACGAGACGGAAAGGGCTTTTGACGAGTTCTGGGTGAGGCATCAGACCAAACTGGAGCAGTGTTTGCAACTGCGACACTTTGAGCACAACTACAGAGAGGTGAGCTGACCAAGCTCTTTTACTAAACCTAATCCTTTTTTTTTTTTTAACACGATGACTGAAACGACGGCGTTTTGTTGCAGGTCAGAGGTCTGCTCGACAACCTGTCGGAGAAGCTGGTGACCTTCTCCGAGGTCGGGATCAGCCCCGCTCACGCCGACCACATCTTCTGTGAGCTCACCTCCTTTGAAGAGCGAGTCTGTGTGAGTCACTAAATGTCCAACAATTTGTTTAACCAGTGCATGTGGGAACCTTGTTGCGTTTCATTTTTTTATCGACTCTGACTGCTTAATGTTGCGAAAATTATGTTGTTGTTTTTTTTAAGCTCACCGTCTGCTATTGCTGACGAGACATTTATGTCCTTTATTGGAACACAAAATTAACAAATTACATTTAGCCTCTCTAGTGCTTTAACAGGACTACTTTATATGATTAATGTCTTTATTAGGCAGGCCTGACAGTGTACCAGCTCACTCCCGGAGCTTTAGCATCAAATATGGGGCACTTCAAATATTCTATCTTATTTTGCATCCAAATTTTCCTTTGTTGTTTCTGTTTTGCACACCTAGGGATTGCAGTGCTGATTGTTATCCATATATATTGTGCAGCTCTATTTAAACTTTTTTTTTTTTGAATAAATACATATTGTATCTTAACATAAACGTTGGCATACATTGTAAAACCTTCTTATTACATTTTAAATTTTCTCGATCAGATGTTTTTGTTTGCTCAGCCTCTTCATTGTAAAACATTAATAATTGAGGCAAAAAAAATTACTCCTTACTTAAATGGTAAATGACATCCAGCTACAAACAACATAATAAAGAATCTGTTTTGTCATTTGTTATTATAAGAACTGTCACAAATGCAGTTTTTGCCACATTCATCTAGTTGAATCTGTAAACCATGACAGAAATAACACTGTTTGACACATTTTAGCATTTTAGTATTTTAGCATTGCAACGTGACTCGTAAGGAGTTACTATGTGACAATTTGGCAAATCATAGAAAATCAGCTGAAGGCTGATGCAGCTCTCTGGTTGTATACCTGAAAGATAATGTCCATTTACAGTAGTTTTTTCACAACATGCTGCCTTGGTCAGATACCAGAGCTGGACTTAAATTAAAGATAAAGAAGCGAAAGTCAAAAGTTCAGTTGATCATCCTCGGTTTGCCATGTTTGAGTACCACCTTGGTGACGCTAAAATGCTATTTTACTCATCAAACAGTGTTATTTAAGGTGTTTTCATTGGTTTAACGACAAAAATATTTAAAAAGATGTTTGAACTTTCTGGAATTAAGAGTTAGAGATTATTTAAACTTTGTCAAAGTCCTGCATTACTTTCTTTTCCCTCAAACAAACTTGCTGTAAGTTTATAAGAAACTCGTAATTGGAATTCAGTCCGTCGTGAATTGGGCCGACGTGCTCTCTTTGCTGTCCTGCAGGAGGTTCTGGACAGAGCCTCGGCGCTGTCTCGTGAGGGTGACGAGCTCATCCAGAAGTCCCACTATGCCGAGGACTCCATCCAGCCCAAATGCAGCGAGCTGAGAGCCGTCAGCGAGAGCCTGAGCTGCAGCCTCAGCACCAAGAAGGACTACCTGCTGAAAGCCATGGAGCTGCACCGTCGGCTGGAGAGGGTGAGAAAACGCACAAGCACCCGAGTCCGAGCGCCTTTGGTCTGTTACCGCTCTGCAGTTTCTCCCCTGCTTGTCTGCCCCGTCTAGGCATCCAAATGGGTCGACGATGGCATCTACCTGCTGGCCTCTCAGCCAGTAGACAAGTGCCAGTCCCACGAGGGGGCCGAGCTGGCCTTGCAGGAGTTGGAGCGTTACCTAGACAACGCTGGTCAGAATCAGCTGACTGAGCTCGACGCCATCTGGAAGGAGTACGAGGAAGTGCTGAGCCAGCAGTTCAGGGTTAGAAAACCAGGCATTTAAATGTCACAGGAATATTATAACAGCTAGACGCAGTTAAGCTAAACAATGTGACTCCATTGTCGTCGTGTGTCTCACGTCAGAGAGCGGTGAGGTCGCACTTTATGGGCTCACGGCTGCATCGCTGCTTATGGGCTAAGCGCTGACCAGCAGATGAAAACTACACCCGTCGATTGAAATGTTTCTCAAACGGCATTGGATTTTTTTTTTTTTTTTTTGGCATGGCAGGAGCAAGTGGAGAAAGTTTACCAAAAGCAAACGTCCATGCAGGAGATGTTTGACAAGCGGAAGATCAGCCTCAAGAAGCTGGCAGCCAAACAAACCAGGCCGGTGCAGCCAGTGGCTCCCAGACCAGAAGCCTTCATCAAATCACCGCTCAGCTCTCCCGGTGAGCCGCCACACTGCATCAGTCCGACTTCACGCTTCACTGCTCAATTAACTATTTCATTTCTGCAAGAATTAAAAAGTGCATTTTTTTAAGTAATTAAAACTCTCCATGCTGGGCTGCAATTTTCTACTTTTTAACCTTTATTTAACCAGGAAAACTTATTGGGATTAATAATCTTTTGTACAGATGTGCACTAAATGATCAAAAATAGCACCTACATGCATGCATATAAAATTAATCAATCAACCAGCCAATGTGGTATATAAGTAGTATGTGAAATAGCGCTGAAAGCTAAATGAAAAGGTAAAAGGCATTGAGATCAAATTAAAATCTCAATAAAATGAAATAAATAAAATATATTCTGAAATAAAAAGAAATAAGTTAGAAACATTCACAAAGAAATTACAAAATAAANACATTGAGAGACCTTAGTAATATAACTAAAAAAAAATAAAAACAACGGGTACATAAATGTTCGTATCCATGTTTAAGTAGAAATTACAGCCTCCAGGCTTGGCAGACGTGTTTTTCCTTACTTTCCTCTTAGGATTAGTCAGGTTGGATAAGCAGCGCTGGTGGATTTTCCCAGATATTTTAAATTGAATTTATGTCAACAAAATAATCCACACAGCCTCCCGAGTTTAGTAAAATACAGCTTAGTAGCTTTTCTGCCGTTTGTAGGCAGCAGTGCTGAATTTTTAATGGTTTGACATTTTTCAAATAAGTGTCTAATAGCAACCGAATGTGTTGCATCAGATCTTGCACCAAATTGTGTCATCCAATGAAATGTTCATTTTAATAAACAGATTTGTTCTTTTTACACATTTATTTTTATTAATGTTAACACTTTCTTTTTATCACACAGCGCACAAAGCACACCTGGAAAAAAATTCGGAGTCCAACCTCGGCTGTGAAAAAGTAAGCGACCTGGTGATGCAGCCGCTGCTGCTGCTTCATTCGCCTGCTGACGTGCGAAACGTTCCCACGTCTTCTGAACCGTTTCATCGCTTTTTGCTTTCCAGAAGAATGGCCAGCTGCAGAATGAAGACGGTGGCAGCAGACACGCGTCCCAGTCGGAGGAGGAGGAGAACCTGGCGGTGCTCCGGCGGTGAGAGTTCAGCTCTTTTCATCTTTAATCAAATCACGCAGCAGATGTCCTCGGTGGAAAAACCATTATCTCATTATCTGCTATCAGTGGAGTCGCTTTCGTTTGAGCTCTGTTTCCGCTTGTTTGTCCTGTCTGCAGACATGTAATGAACGAGCTGCTGGAGACCGAGAGGGCCTATGTGGAGGAGCTGCTCTGTGTGCTGCAGGTGTTTGTCTAAACCAAGGGGAACTTCCTCGTTTTTTTTTTTATTCGTGTTGTGTTTTTTTTTGTGTGTGTGTGCTTTATTTACTTTTGTTGTGATTACAGGGTTATGCCTCTGAGATGGACAATCCAGCCATGTCTCACCTCATCCCTGCGCCTTTGCAGAACAAAAAGGAGGTTCTGTTTGGCAACATGCCAGAGATTTACCATTTTCACAAAAGGTAGATGAGCACCACCCGTCTGCCACACCATGTTATGTTTTTATACTCGCGTGTGTCTTCTGTGCGTTTAATAATTTAAAAACAAATGTTGTGCTGCAGAACCTTTCTGAGGGAGTTGGAGCTTTACACAGACTGCCCAGAGTTAGTGGGAAGATGCTTTTTGGAGAGGGTAAGTTAAATCTAAAATTATCTGAATGCAATTTTTTTTTATCATGCACATTTAATTCTGTATTTTTTATTATTTCCTCAGATGACTGACCTGCAGATCTACGAGAAGTACTGTCACAATAAACCTCGGTCTGAGAGCCTCTGGAGGCAGTGCTCAGACTGCGCCTTCTTCCAGGTAAATTTAACCTCACCTCCCGCTGCACAAACCAGAACCACTCATGACCCATCCGGTAACGCCTTTTTTTTTACACGTTTCCTTCTTTCAGGAATGTCAGAAGAAGCTTGAACACAAGCTGGGTTTAGATTCATATCTGCTGAAGCCAGTTCAGAGAATAACCAAATATCAGCTGCTGCTGAAAGTAAGGCTGTGTTTTTGTCTCTTTGGAAACGGACGCGCGTCTCTGTGTCGCAGCTCTGAGCTCGTGCGTTTCTGACTGCAGGAAATGCTGAAGTACAGTAAGGGCTGCGACGGAGCAGATGACCTGCAGGAGGCGCTGACCTCCATCCTGGGCATCCTCAAGGCCGTCAACGACTCCATGCACCTCATCGCCATCACAGGGTTTGAGGTGAAATAACTTAACAGTTAGCCGTGTTAAGCATTTAGTCGGGGGTGTCCAAACTTTTTACAAAATGAGCCAAAATCGTCAACTCAAAAGTACACACTCAGATTTTTTTCTTTTTCTTTTTTGTTTGTGGAGGAATGGAATGTGTAAATTATTGTAGATGCAAAACTTCATAACATCAACATGTTCTCCTCATTCAAGGAAAGGCAATAAGGAGATTGTCTCTATTCCCAGCAATGAAAACATCATTAAGGTTGTTCTTTATTTGAAAAAGTTTTAATAATGTAAGTAAACGCAGATTTGGTGTACTAACGTCTGCTAAAGTGGATAAGTTTATAGATGTGTTTGTATAATATGAAATTAAAGGAAAAGGAGGAAGCTTCATTATTAAAAGGTGAATACTTTATTTTGCATCTAACTTTTTTTGTGAGAAGATTTTATTTTGTGAATCAGAGTTTAGTCCTAATTGTGTGGGGGGGGGGAAGCCTCCATCTGCATCAATCTCCTGGTGGGACAGATTTGTTTCAGTCGGGACCCAAAATCAGTCCAGGGTCAGCAAACGGCCCCCAGACCGCCCTTTGGTCACCCTTGAATGAAATGATTATCTCTAAGGATATGCTGTGTACATTGTAGATCATTTGTGTCTTCCTTTCTTTCTTTCTCAGGGTAATATGACTGAACTAGGAAAGCTCCTCATGCAGGGCTCATTCAGTGTTTGGACTGAGCACAAAAAAGGTCACGCCAAAGTTAAAGACCTGGCTCGTTTCAAGCCCATGCAGAGACACCTGTTCCTCCACGAGAAGGCTCTGCTCTTCTGCAAGAGGAGGGAGGAGAACGGAGAGGGCTACGAGAAGGCTCCTTCGTACAGCTTCAAACAGTCACTTAGTGTGAGTTGCTCCTCCAAACCGTGCACATGTCTCGTCTGTTTCAGTGATTGATCATTGTGGGTTTATGTGAACCTTCCACACAGATGAATGCAGTGGGGTTCACTGAGAATGCCAAGGGAGACAACAAGAAGTTTGAAATCTGGTCCAGCTCCAGAGAGGAGGTTTATATTGTTCAGGTGAATAAATGAATCCTCCGTTGAGATCTGCTTGCATGAAGCAGTTTCTAGTTGAATTCAATTTGTGGTGTTTTTTCAGGCGCCAACTGCTGAGGTAAAAACCACATGGGTGAATGAGATCAGGAAGGTTCTCACAACCCAACTGGAGGCCTGCAGAGGTGCAGCTAGAACGCTGTTACGACATTCAATATTTGTTCGGAAACACAAGCACTCAAACCTGTAAATCTCCTGAACGTCTGCTGTTTTTATTCCTTTGTGTTGTCTTTCAGAAGCCAGCCAGCAGAGGGCGCCAGACCAAGTGTTTCCGTTTCCCCCGCTGCCAACCGGAACTGTGAGTCTCAGGTAAGTTTTGTTCCCGTCCATCGCATTTATTCTGTTTCTTAATTTAATACACATTAAATGAATGGACTCAAATCTTCAGCAGTTTTTAATATTTATCCAGCTTTGTATTACTGGGTCCAGTTCGTTTAATCTCTGAAAGCTTTTCTGGTGTTACGAAGCTTCTGTCAGACTTCTCTTAACAAACTACGGTGGTTTTTAGTTTTTACTCTCTATGCCGTTTAAGCACACCGGTTGCCGTGGCAACCGCTCGCTCCTCGAGCCGAGCACAGATTACGTTTAAAACATTCAGTCCGTTACGATATTAGGTTTGCAGGCTTGATATTTATTTTTGCGATCATTAATAAGCCTCCCTGAACACAGCGGTGGTTGATTAGTTAATTTTAAACTCCTGCTCTTCTCGTTATTTTGGAAATGGAACCGAAACGCACAGAATTGTGCAACACCTTGTTGAAACAATAATTGCTGAGATTATTATTTTTGTTGGGTCATTAATTTGAACACGTTTTGTTGACTTTTTTTTTTGTTGTTGTTTTTTAATAAAGTGACGAACGTTTTGGTAAGCCAATCAGAGGAGGGCGTGCGGGTCTCAGCCTCCTGGCGGCGTTCAGTTAGTCACCTAATGCCGAGATCGACGATTTGCACCGCTGCTCTAACAAAGCACGAAAAGTTCAGAAACAATATGAAATGAGAAAAAAGTTATTTATTAACTGATTAAGTCGTGTTTTAGATTGTTCTTGAAAAACTAATCAGTCACGGCTAATTAGTGGGTGCAACACGGCTGCACAGTTGAACCCATTGATTTTTTTTTTACTGCAGACAGCCGCTCCCCTCTCTTGCAAATACTGCGTACCCCTGCTAAATCTTCTAGGATCTTCTAGGGGTATGCAGTACCCTACCGTACCCCTTTACTTTCACCCCTGCTCTTAACGTTCCCTAAGGCAATTTCCTTTCAAAAAAAAAAAAAATATGACAAAGATAAAAGTGGATTTTGTTTCCTTTAGCTTAATGTTGCCAAACAAATTTTTCTTCTGAGCTTCAAAGGTCAACTCGGAGACTTTTCTTCTTTCTACCTTCAGTCCTTTTAAGACGAGTCAGAAGGTTAAAAAGGGAGAGGAGAAGAAGGCTGAGCCGTGCAGCCCTGACGTCATCTCTACTTGTTCACCAAAGCTTACTGTGAAAGGTGAGTCAGGAAACCAATGAAATACACTTCCTGTTTAGAATATTCTCTCCTAACAGAGCTGCATTTGTATGGCATGTATAATGGAAACTAAGTCTTCCTTTTAACGTTCCTTTTCTGACTGATTCGTGTTACAACTGCTTGTTTTCCAATCATTTCTTCCCTCTACGATGATTTTCTCCCTTGCTCAACTTACCTTCTTCCTTCCTTCCCTCCTTCTGGTTTGGTTTTCCCTCTTGTTGATTTTTCCTCGCGGGGTCAGACGAGGCAGTGACAAGCCCGACCTCAGACAGAGCTGCTGCGGCTAAAAAGCGATTTACTTTGCAGGGCTTCAGTAACCTCAAAACTCAGAAAGGTAACTTTTCAACAATCATATGAGATCAATGCAAAACAGCGATATTGCTTTTGGTTAAATCAGAATCCAATTAGTTGATGAAAATATGTTTGTGATCGGTTTTGTGCGCCTCCTACAGGCGAATAGTCCTCAACATGAATCACCAAAGCCGCCTTTACACTGGAATAAGACCAAGACTTCTGGCAACATAAAGTATCTTACTAAGTATATGAAACACATCATCCATCGACATTTTCATTACCCCGAACTATCTGGTTCACAACAGGCGACAGGCGCACACACATCCAAATTGCACATATTTACAGGTTTTTGAGAGTCTGAAGGAAGTTAAGACTCCTATCAGCAAAATGTCACATGTTGATGTTAAAGAGCTGCCCTTTTATCATATTTAGTGATAGGAGAAAGAGAAAAATACATGAGCTGTAGCTTAATGGGTTATTAAAAATAATTTCTGCTGATAAGATGATGGAATTACTGATGGTGTTTCTTCCTCCTCAGAGGGGCTGATGTAGGCGGTACAGATGCCTCACAAATTAAAATAACATTAAATGAAGGTTTTCTAAATTTGACCTTCAAACCTGAAGGACCTGGACATCACATGGCGGTCTTCATCCAGTGTGAAGGCGGTCTAAGAGACACTTTTGATTCTTTTGTGGACTAATTAAGCAAAAAAAGAAAATTCTTGTCACGGATACCTGCTAAATCAGGTGCGTTTCTGTCCGCAGAGCCCACAAGCACTGATGACAAATGTTATACATTCCCCATGATAATCTGCCCATCTTCAGGTATCAAGCAGCTCTAGACCCCATTTCCTCTCCGTTAGCCACAATGCCTTTTTCACAGCAGATATTTTCACCTGATGAGTAAAGCAATTTAATGCTCTTTAATGTACAGTACAGTAAATGTACCTACCTATATCCTCTATGAAAAAGGTATGTGTAGATGAAACACCTGTTTGTGCAAAGCTGAGCCTCTGCTTTCCTCACTGGTGTTTTTTTTTTGTTTGTTTTACCTTTACCTGCCTGTTTTTATGTTCTCTTTAGGTTGGATTAGAGTTGTGCTGTTTGCTCTCCCTTCTTGCTGCTGATGTCTATCATGCCTCACCATCTGTGTGTTTTTTTCTCTCCATTTCCTTGACGGTAGGATCCCCCACCAGCCCAGACCACAACACCAAACGGCAGAGTGATCCCACGCCTTTTGGCTTCAAAGGTACTCTGTTCTTCTTCTCTTCTTGGCCCATGCCGGTCGATGCTTTAGGACAGCCATGGTAACTCAGGCTATAACTCAGGCTGCGTGACCAGCTGTACCTCGTGTCCCTCAGGTCCTCCTCCCCTCCACCTGACCAGGGCCAGGTGGTTCAGCACCTCTAGTCTCTTACAGACAAAGTGGAGAGGTATTCTGGCACTGGCTTGCTCACGCTGGTTGTGTCTCTTGGCCCACTCTTTCACCTTCACATGGAGCCTTTCTTTCCTTTTTAGACTTGGAAAAAAACCCAACACATTTACGGGATGGGAATAGTTGCCTGACACTTTTTCCCCCCATTGTTTGACTTTTAAACATGCATGCCGGCATCGGGAGTTTCCAGACTTTTTTGGTTGTAGCTGTGGATATGATAAAGCCGTAGTTGGATTACTGGGTTTAGTGCCGTTTTTTTTTTGTTTTGTTTTGTTTTCTTTTCGGAGCAGCAGCTTTAGCTTTCGAACTAAAAGAGACGTTTGTGTCTTTCTGATCAGGATGGAATAAGACCTCCCTGTCTCTGGATGAACACGACGGCTACTCCAGCGCCGAGGAGCCTCTTAACTCTGATCCAGAAGAGGAAAACCACAAGAAGCTGGTGGGTCATTCTTTGTGGATCATTTCAGCCATTTAATATATATATATATATATATAATATATATTGTTCTTAAGATATGGGATTTTTCTACCCATTCACTGAGATATTCCTCCTGTTAGATTCGATTACTCTTGAGCTCATGAGTGTCGCTGATTTATTTTATTTTTTTTTATCTATCTCTTGTGTTTAACTGTGCGTAGTGTGCTGGGAAATACACCGTAATGGCAGACTACGAGAACGGAGCTGCAGACGAGCTTTTAGTGAAGAGTGGAGACATTGTGCAGCTGGTGAAGGAGGGGGACGACGGACAGTGGTGAGAGCAGCATTTCTGGTAATAACGCATAAGTTGAGAAACGTCTTCTATTTTAAGCACTTTGAGATTAAGCAATCTATAAATAAACAGAGGTGGCTCAGGTTCAGTTGACTGCTGTAGGAGTTAAGTTTAAAAGAAGATCATGTACAGAGGAAGCTGAATATTTTTGATTGTGCACGAGTTCATTTAGACCATAGATATAAAATGTTGGCTGTTGCCGTCTGTGTTCTGACCATTTGTGATCAAATCAGAGATCTGAAAAAATGTGAATAATGTTAAAAATGTCATTTATTTTAGTGATTTTCATCAAAAAGTTAAAATTACACACAGATGATTTTATTATTTTCTTTACAACCAATAAAATCAGCTCAAATGATTCCCAAATTTTACACAGAGAATAAAAGCTGCAGATGCTTCAATGGTTGGTTTTTGCAGGTTTGTGCGGAACCTCAACACGTCTAAGGAGGGCTGGATGGCCGCTGCTAATCTTATGACCCTCATGGAGAAGTCCAAGTCTTGTCAGTCTCTCAGCAGCTCCGGTATTTAAACACACATTTTAAAAAAAAGTCAAACATGTGCTCCTTCGGAGAGCGCTCTTCAGGTTTTTATTGTGTTTCCGACAGAAGGCAGTGGGAACCTCAGCACATCCTCCAGCTGCAGCGAGGCCTAAACAAACTCGCCAGACGTCAAACCCTGACCTCCTCTGCACTTCTCCGGTCAAGGAACTGCCCTCCTGAATGCAAGCGTCACATGGCTGCGTCTGTGCTGTAATGCCAACATCAGTACTCCTGGATTTTGCACAAAATGTCGTATGTTTGTCATTGTTTTTACTGAACGCGTACGCCGCGTGGTCTCATAACGTTGTCACCGTTACGCTTGTTGAGGTGTAAACATTAGAGAAAAAAACTCCACTGTGTAGTAAAGTGATCTGGCAGCAGACATTTTTTATGATCAGTTTTAGATGTATGAGTGGACCAGCAGGACTGAGATCTGTTAATGCATCTTTTTTATCACTTCACAAGCAAGGAAAAGTTACAAAAAAATACAAATATTTCTTCATGTTCATCAGCTCTAACCGGATGGTTTTAAAAAAAGGGGGGAAAATACATTCATGCAGCTTGTTTAGGTTGTGTGTTTCCCTTTTGTCAGCTCAGTATTTATTTAAATGCAACACACCCATTTATATTCATGAATTCTTCCGTATTTCCACCTGTCTGCTGTTTGTCTATTGTCAGCCTGTCTGTAGAAACCGGTTCAAATGTCCAATGTCTGTGGATTTTCTCCTATTTGTGAATTTCATTAATGCAACAAATGTTTCTCAGTGTAAAAACCCAGAGACCACTGTACTAACTTATTCCCTGTGCAGGGGGTCATTTTCTGAATGTAGATAATATGTAATAATAACTGTCTGTCATGAGATATTTGTTAATGAAAATGCTATATTGTACACTAAGTATGGTGACGTCACTACCTGGTGACTTGTCTAATTTTTTTACATAAACAAATTGTTACAAACCAGTGATTGTGTTTCTCTTTGACGCAAAGCAGCAGAATCCCTGGAAATGAAACTGAAAGTATCCCGTACTTGGTTGCCACATAACTTGACGTTTATGTTTCACTCCGCAATGTTCTCGCGAGGACTGGGGGAACTGTACTGGGGGCCTGCTTTGAAAGTCTGGCAACCCCGGAGGGAAGTCCTGTGTAGTTTGAATAGCTTACGAAAGAGAAGTGGAGCCTGTCCGAGTGGAAGTAGCTGTGTGTTTGGGGTTTATTTCGATGTTTTTACTAGCGTGGAGAAAATGAACCACAGCCGCAAGTGCGTCCTCTGTCATCGGCCCGATGAGACGACAACAACCGGAGCCTTATTGAAGAAAGAGCAGGTCACGGCCCACCAGAACTGCCTGGTAAATATAAATCACAGAAGGATTTCTGTCAGGAAACCGCCTGCAAAAGAAAACCCTGAAGTCCGCAGGAAGTAGAGAGGGTTTAAAAAAAAAATGGCGGTAAAATTATTTGAAGACATTTGAGTTGCAACAGCAGTGAGTTGGTATTTAGTTAAATTTTAAAACTGTGAACAAAAACTCTAAGGTGAAGATGCGCTTTTTACAATGACGAGTCGGTGGATGAGAGTAGCGCAGCATATTGCTGTAATTTTTAAAATAAACATACATATTTTGTGTGAAATGTTATTGCAATGAAAATGCAAATAAGGCTTTAACCAGAAATGAAAGTAAGCGACTGACTCTGATGGGGCTTGGTTTTTGGAAACGGGGGATCAAGACATCGATTAGTAAATTCACAGAGGAGGGCAGAATAGCCACAAAAAAAAAGTAGTCAGCCAAGAAATAACTCCAGTAAAAGTCATTAGACAGACAAAAACATTATATTCTGTAATGCGCTTACACATAATGACAAAATATCAAATTCAGGCTCAAGAAAAACTTCCTAATATTTTATTTTTCTACATAAAACTTGTCAAGCTAATGCAATTGGTAACATATTTACATGTTTAAAAAAGGGCAAAGGACTTCCAGTGATAATAAATGTTTTACTCTATTGATCTAAATGACATTAGAATAACAAAACCTTTGGACTAACAATAATTTTCACTTAAATACACAGCCCACTGTAGGTGAGTGTCTGTGTCTGGTGTGTTTTTGGCAAAATAAACAAAAACATGTTTTCATGTTCATTCAGTTCAGTTAGTATCCAGCAATTTTACTCAAGTAAGATTAGTGGTACTTCTTAATATTAATCAAGTAAAAGTAAAATATACAGCGTAGTAAAATTTTAACGTACATTTTTTTCCCAAAAGTTAGACAAGTAAACTTAGCAAAGTAAGTGTGTTGGGAGTCCCAAATACAGCACACAGTAAGGAGTATTTGAGAGGTGAGTCAGGTTGTCATCCAGTCAGTTAAACTAATAAATACATGAAATAATCTATGTACATAAAGTGCATTGGCCGATATAATATACGACTATTTAAGGAGCAAGTAATGCTAATAGGTTAACCGTGAATAAAAACATACTTTGACGTTGGTGGATGCAATGTGACAAAATGTGAGAAAGCTCACGAATTGCCTGTCGAGTATAACGAGCCTTAAATAAGTTGCGTCTTATCGTGTTGGCTTAATCTCGGAGACTTGTTTTGTGTGTTTTCCAGCTCTTCTCGTCGGGCATTTTTTGCACCAACACGCCAGAGTTCGACGACCTGTTCGGCTTCTCCGTTGAAGACGTGAAGAACGAGGTGAAGCGAGGAAGCAAACTGGTGAGGACCGTCCGAACCTTTACGAGGTGAACAGATTCCTCCTGTCTGTCTGTCTGGTGTCTCTTTGACTTCACCAGTCATCCGCTCTGTTTTAGTCATGTAGACACTGCAAGAAGAAGGGGGCCACAGCGGGGTGTGAGGTGAAGCGCTGTCAGAAGACCTTCCACTACCCGTGTGCCATGGAAGAGGGAGCCAAGAAGTTTGAGGATAGTGACAATGGAAAATATGGGTACGTCTGGTACGAGGAAAATAGATTCACGTTCTAGAGAAATTTCTGTTTTTTTGGGGGGTTTTTTTTGACTTTATTTTTGTTGTGTGACAGACTGTACTGCCGACTGCACAGTGATCCAGGTAAGTGTTCGGATCTGCGTGTTTTCATGCGTTTGTTCTTCCAACAAATAGGGCTGAAACAATTAATCGGATTAGTTGTGATGCATTACTGAAATAATTGTCAACTAATTTGTTAATCGATTAGTTGACAATAGTTTATTAAAGCAAAAAGGAAATTTGCTGATTAAACGAGACACTCTGAGCAGCAAATCTGTACAAAATATTTTGCACTTAAGAGAAAAAAAAAAAATCTTAGTCTGTAAATAAGTTACAACTTCCTCTAATTTTTTTAGGCATTGAAATATTTATTTTCTTATTTTAAAAAAAGGAATTGATTATTTATTTATCTGCATCTTTTAGTCCATTTTTTAAATTCTGTATAAAAAAGCTTAAGCTGTTATCGAAAATCTGCAGAATGTGCTATAAAAAAATGTATCCAATTAATCATCACAATAGTTGATTACTAAAATGATTGCTTCGTCTAATAATTGATTTATTGAACTCTTCTTTTTTTCCTGGCCAGAAAATCGCAAACCCAAAACGCCCCGAAACTCCAAGAACTCAAATAAAGCCGGACCATCAAAGGTTTGTATTCAGGTTTATTAACACATTTGCAGCTGATATTAAAGGTAATTTCCCCCTAAGTTATCTCCAATTATACATAAATGCAAATCCTATTTTAGAGTTCTGTCCCTTGTGTAAAATTACAATACCCATGTTCTGTTCTCATGAGACTTATTGCCTCACCTGTGAGAGGAAAGAAGGAAATATCAGCTTGGACAGTTTATCTAACAGCATTGTCATGTGAGTGTCTCACAAACATCCGTTCTTTTATTTCCACTTCCATTATTACCGTTCACGTCAGCTTACAGGTTTGTGTCTTTTTTAAGGATGTTCTGTGCCAAACATGCTCCTTCATCACTGCAGCCGAAAACCAACGGTAAGAGCTGCTTCAGGCTCGCTTGTTTTTTTTTTTTGTTTTTTTTTTTTAGTGTCATGCATTTTTAGTTAAATCTTTTAAACTTTTCTGCAGGAGATCCTTCAGCTGCCGCGTGGTCGTCCTCATGCAGCGACTCGTCAAGTATATCACAGACCAAGGTTTTTATACATTTTTTTGGTTTGTTTGTTTTTATTGATTTTTTTTTACCAACCCAACTATTGACTGTGGTTGTTGTTTTGTTTTTTGTTTTTTGTTGCTTTTTAGAGACAGCAGAGTTTTGATGAAGAGTAAGTAACAATCCACGCTTGAATCAAATCTTTGAAACTGAATAATTTTTTTTATTTTTATTTTTTTTTATCAAATTTTCCCGCTGTGAAACAACACAGTGTTGGGAAAAATTGTCCTAATAAAATGTCTTTTATTTTCTTTTAAAATAAATTATACTTTTTTTCCTTCTTAATGATGCCAGAAACGCCTCTGGGAAGTTACAGTGATGCAAATAAAGCATCAAATGGTCACGTAATTTAAAAAGCTGACATTATCCCAAAAATAAAATGTGTATGAAAACTGAGGTGAAGATACAAATTGAACAAGTGAGACAGAGAAAATAAAAAAAAATACTCAGCGTTTCTTCATCTGCATCAACAAAATCATCAAATGTCCCAAAGCTTAAAAACTCATACTAGTTATTTAAAGAACAGTGGATTATGTGGTGGAAAATGTCGTTTAGTCTGACAAAACCATTTTTGTAAATCATTGTTTGTGAACGTGGCTTGTCACCACAAACCATGTAAAGAGGAAAAGAACAAGAAACATAAAACATCTCGTCATTTAAGTCAAAAGCAAAGGCTTTTGTTATTTGCAGGATTCAACGGCGTTTGGCAAATATTATTGGGGTGAAGGTATTATTTTGAACCTGTTTAAATTAGAAAACAGTTACACTAAATAGAAACTTGAGCTCCATATCCCGTTTTTAGATCATTTAGGCCGTTTGCTCTTAAATCGACTCCATCCTGAAATAATAAAAAAAAAGAATAGTACAAATGCATCTTTAGGACAAAAACAAATGGATTCTGAAACGTACGTTTTAATGAGCGGCGGTGGCAGCAACGAGCTGTGGGACTGTTTTCCCACCGACGGACAGTATTATTATTTTAATGTCAGCAATTAGGCAGCTAAAATTGCGACTTGATTTCAAACTCGGATGCAGGCTGGATTCAGGACTCGTAGTTTCTATAATAGCCCCCAAAAGTAAAAATGAATCATTAATATTTCTTCTTTGAATCGTTCTTCCGAGTGAGTGAGGTAGTGGGAGCTGCGATGACGCCTTTGACCTCTTCCTCACAGGGAAGAAGACGGTGTGTTCAGGAGGAAATCGGTGAAAAAGAGCAGGTTGTTGTCCGGAGATTCTTCAAACACAGGTTAAAACTCGTCCAGTCATAAAATAGAAACTATTGTTGTTGTTTTTGTATTTACGGTTTCCCTGTTTCCTGCAGATGAGGAGGGACTTATGCCGCCATTAGAGTCAGACTTTGAGGAAAGTGCGACATTTGTGCAAGAGCACGAAGTAGGCTGAAATATATATATATATTTCCCCCCCAATTTCTTTGGGAATGTGATTATTAGAGCCTGAATATGATTTAATAATCTCATGTTTTTTGCCTTTCAGTCAGCTCTCCCTCCACTCATCAGGTATACATTTTTACTTTCTGACTGTTCATTAATGTTGATAAAATTAAACAAAATGTCTGAAGAATTAATATTTTTTTTCATAAATGTAAATTATTATGCACAACTGTTCCTGATGTTTTTCCTCTCACGGCAGGGAGTCGGAAAAACCTTCATGTTCCTCAGCAGGTGAACCCTCGCACCAGAAATATAATCAAAATTTACATTTTTTTTTTCTAATCTCTGTGTTTTTTTGATTTGTTTTTTTCCAGGGTTTCAGGTAGAGAATATGAATTCAGACTTAAATAACAACGGCGACGACGACACGCTCACACACTCTGTGAGTTCTCAATCAGGCCTTTAGTGCAAATTATTTTGTCTGGCAGCTTCAACGTTCGCTTTATGCCACTTCTCCGATTCGGCACTGATAAAACACGACAGTTTCGTGATGCGACGTGTGTCGTTTCCTCTCCAGGATGCGGAGTCCGAGAGCTTGCTGTGCCCGGTGGCGGCCGGCGCCGAGTTTTCCCCGGATCCCGCGGCTCGATCCGTAGCTGACGAGCGTCTGCAGGTTCAGCTGATGGAGAAAGCAGTGCAGACCATAAAAAGAGAAAACCAAGGTAGGATCTCCGTCAGTTGGTGTTTCCTGCGTCTGCTTGGCGACGTGCAGACTTAAAGCTGCTAGAGGAGAGAATCCGGGCGGTTCAGCGCTTTAGTTGCTGATTGATTACTTCATATTTGTAAATCAAACCAAAGTTGCACACAAGGAAATCAGAAAATGCATCTCGTCGTCTGACGTGTGTCGTGGAAGAAATTACTTTGACAAGAGTCTGGATGAGAAGAAATTTATTAAAACCTTACAAGATGGGAACAGAAACGGAGTCAAGTCTGTTCTGACTGACAGTGGACCTGGCTTCATTTTATAGGTTCTGGTCAGAGAGGAGACTTGGTTGGATCACAGATGTGAATCCCTGATTGTTATGTGACAGGGATTCTGTGGAGCCCAACACAATTTGTCTATTGTTAAGGAACCAATAGAGGGGGATGTCATGATGAGACTATGCAGATGAGCTGAAGCAGAAGAGGAGTGAGGAGCACGCTATAAGGTTTCCCTCTACACGTGTCGATTAGTTTGTCCATCCATCCATGTGAGCTTCGTTAGGCTCCACGTGTTCATGTTTGCAACGTGGATTCAGTTTGAGCCTCGTCACCAGAACGGAGCAGCACCGCCCGCCGTTTGGTGTGTTGTAGGGCCGAAACGATCAGTCGTGATCAATCGATTATTTCAAGCACTGACTAATTTAGAATTTCATTCTTCATTAATTGGAGCGTACAGACTGAAAAAGTGACGTTTGCTGAAAGAACGACACCCTCTGAGGAGTTATTAGCGAGATTTGCATTCAAGATGAAAAAAGTCTTTGTTTGTAAATATGATTACTCCTGACGTTTCCTAGTAAATTAATGCTGATATTGCATTTTAGGCAATTATATATGTCTCATTTAAAAAAAAAGTAATTTATTTATTTGCATCTTTTGATGTTACATTTCTAATATTGTATAAAAATGGCTAAAGTGGTTAAATGAAAATGTGCCAAAAAAATTTTTTCCGATTGACAGAATAATCAATTACTAAAATGATCATCATTTTGTCATCACAGTGTGTTTAGATCAACTCATCGTTCTAAACCGGCTGTGATGACGTCGCTCTGTCTCTGTCCTCAGAGTCCAGACACGAGCAGCACGAAGAACACCTCAACGGATCGTCCGTCCCTCATCAGAGCGCCGCCGCTGACCCTTACCCAGAGCGCTCCAGCAGCGCTCCGCCGGGCACCAGCTCCGACTTTACCACAGCGCCATCCAGATCCAACTGTGCGACTCTCCTCTCGTCCCCGCCCCGACCCCGTTCAGCCGCCCCAGGCCCGTTCCCTCCCGGCGTCCCTCCTCGCTCTGAGCCCTCCTCCACCCGAGCTCCTCCCTCACCCGACGTCGACTCGGCCGCCTTCTGGAGGAAATGCAACGCGGCTGGATGCACGCAGGCCATCTTCACTGAGTTTATTAGAGAAGTTGACAACATTTCCAGCAGAATCCAGTGTGATCAGGCCAGCCGGGAGGGTAAGGAAAAGAGAAAACTGAGCTAATTTATGTGCTAAACACAACTACAGCGACTAAGTTTACCGTGCACTCCTGGTGAAGATTGATAAACAGAGCATGTTACTTATTTTCATTACAGCAATGATGTGTTTAGAAAAAAAGTACAATTTACATTTGAAACACCGACTTCTATGGAATAGACGTAGTTAAACGTTTATGTCAATGTTTCATTTATAACCCATGACTTCCTGCTTCCCTGGTGAATGAATATGATGTGACATATATTTCATTTAAAAATAAAAAGGCTTAATAAAATGTTTAGGGTGTCGATAAATGTGGTGTTTCAGAACAGTTCTTACTCACCTCCACCAGGAGGGCCAGTAAACCTGGAGCACAGCGTCGGTTTAAGAAGTGAATTGATTTTCTCCACAGATTATGACCGGGCGCTTTCAATGATGCTGGCTTCTGGAAGACTTGCAGACCTCGTTACCAAGCAGGAAGAAGGCAAGTCGGCTTCCTCCCACCTCCTTTACGTTAAACCGTCAAAGAAAACATTACATTGTGGGCACTGTTACTTCCTTCGGCTGTTCAGAAATAGGCCGAAGTTCTCCTGTCATCCATCGTCACTGGTGAACTGAGCAGAGTTCATTAACTCCTGGTTAATAAACTTCCTTAAACGTGTCGGCTGCACTTAGTTTCAGCTCGATGTGTCCTCACAGGTTGGGCCAAACCATCTAGTTTAATACTCAAATTTGTATGTACAAATTTACAGCGAGAATACGTGTAAATTTGTACATACAAATGTTAAATCTTCATATTTGAAGATTTAAAATTTGTACATACAAATGTTAAATCTTCATATTTGAAGATTTAACATTTGTCCAGCTGATCTCAGTTTCTTTAAGACAAATGAGCAGAGCTGCAGCTGGATTCATTTAAAATGAAAGAAAAACAAAACAATAAACAAAGTCCAGTGGTGTTTGGGCCTGCAGGGGTTAATTTGCTCTTCCTTCTGTGTCATTTACATAAATAGTTTACATCAAGCTGCAGCCTCAGCAGGGAGTGTTGCTTTTCTGTTAAGTCACCAGAAAACGTATAAATGTCATAAAATGGGGGAAGCTGTAATCCCCCCTTTTATGTGAATAAATTGATTATTGAAGCTGTAATAAGTCTGTAAGTAAATTGTCTTGGCTTGCAAGCAAGTTTAAATTTTCCCTCTGGTCTTTAGAGTTGGAAAGGAGACGAGTGGAGCTGCAGCGAGCGTCAGCATCTCTGAAGGAGGCAGTCTCCGCTCTGAGACGATGAGACGTGGCACACAGCATCTCCTGGCTTGAATTTACAGTTTTACTCTTTAGTTTTTATATTTTCGTAAAGATAAGGAAATTCAAGTAACTGTAGTAATATCAGGCTTCCTGTTTATGTGAAAATATTTTTTAAATGTTCATTTCTGTAAAGTTCCTTGTATGTTTCAGGTTGTTGCTCTATTTAATGTATAAATTTTTATTTTTCATGTTTTAATGCACCGTTGTTCATTATGAGATAAAAAAAAAAAATTAATCTACTGTGTTTAAAACTAATTTACAAAAATCTGTTTTACTTTTTTTAATGTCCTGAAAGATCACTGAGCCTTTAAAATAACCGTTTACACTGACGCCTTCAGAGACTGTTTGGTTTTAAAGAGTCTGAAACGTTGAAACTTTAATATATGCACACGTTTGGTTACGAATTCATTTTGAAGTGTTTTTGATATAACTCTTTAAATCTAAATATTTGAAAGTGTAACTTTTGTGTTTCGTTTTTCTTCCTGCATCATTTTGTGACTGGAGCTCTCGCATGTTCCAGGGGCATTTCAAGAAAATCCACTGTTCCTGAAATACTATCCCCTTTGTGCACAGAAATACCTTTTAACACACCTCAGTTTGATTCTGCATCACATTTTATAGTGTTACCACATGGGTCATTACAAAGTGCTGCACACTTTTGAAGTTACATAATATCATGCATGCTTTATTTAAAAATCTTTGCACAAATAAAAAATGAATGGAGAGTGCCACCGCTATGTTTTGAGTGGGGGATGGTGCATTCAGGGTCAAGCGCAGTGTTGGATTTCATTCAAATTCTTTTGATCTGCATGTAAACAAAGTAGTTACATTTTGGTTTTGTTTGGTATTTTCCACATTTGCTGTGTCTGTTACTGTGCCTTTAAAAAGTATTCACGCCTTTATACGGTTCATCCTTTTATTTCTTTAATGAATCAATCATGATCAACATAATTTGGCTTTTTTTTTTTTTAAATACAAAAAATAAAATACCCCTCTAATGTAAAAGTGAAAACCTCAACTTGAAAGATGGCCACAAACCCGCTCTACAGTTTTCTTTTAAAACTTGAGAACCTTCCAGATTTGGGTAAATTTGTTGAGTGCGCAGCGAAAAGTTTCCCCGTTAACAGATTCTTCCACCTGAGCTGTGAGTCTCTGCTGCTCCTCCAGTGTTTCCAATGACCTCATAGCTGCTTCAAATTTGCATACTGAAAAGCTTTTCTGATAAATGAAAACAAATGATTTTGTAAGATTAAAGTATGTTAGGTATTACTAATCAGCTCTTAGTAAATTGGTCAAATATGGAAAAGAAAATCTTAGTATCATTAAAATCCATTTCAGAAAAGTGTGGAATTTTATTTCAGTATTTTCCAAACTTATTTTTCCCCATCCCATCGTCTAAATGCTGCCTTTCTTTTTTGGTATTTTTTATTGTCCTTAAATCCTTTCTTACTTCCAGTTCTCATGTGTGACCTAACTTTATATCCTTGAGAACACGGTAAGCGGCTTTTATTGGCTTTTTCCAACTCCAGAGCGTTTCACGGTACCGTCAGTCATTCACCCACTGCTGCCCTACGGCCACCACCGGCTGGCAAAGTGGCAAAAGCATCTTGACCTGGGATGTAGAGGACAAGTCACCGAGTGGGGATTTGAGCCAGCAACCCGCTGGTTGCAAAAGAACTTCCTAAACCACTTTCCTCCTGTCCTCCCCTCTCTCCCTTTGAACTTCCATCCTTTATTCCTTCATTCGTTCGTGAAAGCTTCCTCTTTCTCAAGTTAGAAAGACAAAACTCTACAGAGACTTGGAGTGGAGTGAGTGTTCATAGCAGAGGCATTTAAGGCACCACTCCATGAAAAAATGTCATCTGAAAGAAAAGAAAAAAATAAAACAACCCAGTCAAATTCTCTCTGGAGGAACATCGTCAGGAGGATCTGTGGGGGAGAAATATCGTTCTACCTTTAATATGACCAGGAGTAAAACATGTTTATAGATAACAAGCAGAGAAATATTTTTGTTGATCTGTTTCCAGAGGTCAAAGCATTTGACTGACTTATTATTCAGCATCAATAGAGAAATAATTGTTGATTTTCAATGTCCTGCAAAGAAACAAGTAAAAATATATTATAATACTCAAAGAAAACAATAATACTGCTGAATGTAATTGTCGGCGTAGGTCAGAGATTTAAGAAGGGGAAAATATATAAGCTAGCATCAGCAGTTATGAAGCCACCAATGAATGTCACTGACCATGACCTCATCCTGGTGAGTAAAACTACATAAACTTAAAAAAAAACACCTTAATGAAACAAATCAATAGATAAAATCCACTAAACCTGAAGAACTATTCTTAGGCCTCTTTGTAACTCAAGTTTCTTTGGATCGTTTTACCAGAAAGACTAAAAGGCACTAAGAGCTCAAACAGGGGGGTTGACCTACACGGATGAACCATCAGTAATTTCCTCTCATTAACTACCAGCAGAGTCTCAACCTGCAAAGCATAAAAGTAGACACCAAACTGATTCATTCACTTAAATTAAAAACAACAAAACCCAATACTTAAAGTCTTTTAAGTTAAACTAAAATAATATAAACAGCAGCACTCCTCTCTCTCCTGCCCTATACAATATGTGCAAATTAAAAAGCAAGGCACTGTAGGGAACCAGCTGCTGCTCCCAGTGTGAAAATGCGTGCGACGCTCTCTCATGTTCGGACCCGGCGCCGACACAGACGGCCAGAAGGGGAAGTTTTCCACTGTGCAAACGTTCCAAGACTGGATTTAATGGTTTGCAGGAAAGCTGCTCTGGAACTGGAGTTTCTCTGCATGCGTTCCCATCGCTTCCTGCAGTCCGGCTTTAGTTTTTGAAGGCTCCACAGCGACTCGCTCGACAGATGAAGTCTTTGAGCAGATTGCCGTCAATCTGCCAGAAAGCAGTCGTCTGGGTCACCTCGGTCAGGTGGTTCACGCAGAACTTGAAGCAGAACTCCTCCAGGTCCTAAAGGGAAAAGAAAAAGATAAAAAAAAAAGAGCTCGTTTTGGTCGAACGGGATGAAAACCACAGACATTCACTACTCTGAATGTCTGTGGTTTTAGGGTGTTACGACAACACTGTGTTTTATTTCAATGACCAGGATATCGCATGTTATTTTAGGGACAACTCATGCCCACTTTCACATTAATCAACTGTTTGCTTGCTATGTGAGGCTTGGTAAAGAACGAACGAACGTGCTTTGAAGACCGACCTCGGCATCGTAGCGCACAGCGGCGGACAGCAGAGAGAAGGCGTTCTCCACCGTGATCCCCCTCTTGATGATGTGCTGGCACAGACGCTTGAGTCGGTTCTCGCAGTAAGACGTGGCCAGATCCAGCAGCCCTGAGGGGAGACACAGACTGGATCAGCAACTAGGGAACGACACGACAAATACAAGCCGAAATCAGGCTGCGTGCTGGACGTGTGTCTGACCGATGGCGTCTTCAGGAGACAGCTCCACGTTGTCTGTGTAGAGGAACTGGAGGAAGGCGCGATAGACGGCGTAGGAGAACTGGTCTATCTCAATCACCTCCTTCATGTCCTCGTTCCAGTGGGACTGGAACATCGATCGGAAGTGTTCGCACCTGGACGGCAGAGATGGAGGACAGCGGCTGCACAAAACGGTCCACGCGTGAAGGCTGGAACGTCCGGACGGAGAGTTTCTGACCTAATTTTGAGGACCGCTTTGTGGACGTAGATGTATTTGCCATCAACGCAGAACTTGAGGTCGGCGGTCTCTGGGTTGTCGAACTCCTTCTTAAGAGTCTGAGCCACAGTGAGGAAGTCATCGTGCTCTGATGGGAGAGAAGCACCACAACCAGAAGTTTACATACACTAGGAAAAAGAGGGTGTGTTTTTTTTTTTTTCTTACACTCCAACAATAAAAACAGAAATGATTTCCATGATGATGAAAATCAAAGAAAAATCTTTAAATTCAGAAGCTTATCTAGTAAAAATGTCTTTAAGCAGTCTGCTTTACAATCCAGCATTTTAACGTTACTTTTGGGGTAATGGCTTCTTCCCATGTTGGTACAGGAGAGCTTTCATTTATTTGTTTTTTTTTTTTTTTTTTTTCAAGACTTTTTATAGCACTGTTGCCTTTCATTGACAGGAAATGAGCAGAAATACAAGGAGGAAGGCATGCAGCAAAGGTCTCCAGGTCAGGAATCAACTCTGAAGACCGAGGCCTCTGTGGCGCCTGCTCTACCGCTTCACCATGCGATGCAATGCAAGACTGGATTTTATCAGGATAATGACCTCTTAACTAACTGCAGCATCTTCACAAGGTTGACTTTTTTTTTCTTGGTGTTGCATGTTTGAACAGTTGAATGTGGTTCTTTCAGGAAATAGGGAATTGACACAAACCAAAACGCCTCAGGATCCAACTGGAAAAGCTGTCAGCAAAATGTGACATGACTCAACAACGTTCAGGTTATCTGTGTTAAATCTGATGCAATAACTGTAACGGGCTTCGATCATTAGGAATGCAGGGTGGAAAGGTTGAGATCAGAGGCAGAAAAACGTGTAACTGCTGAAATGTTAATGGTGAAATGTGCTCTACAAATAAAATTTGACTTGACTTGGTTTCTCGACTGCCAACCCCAAGTTTCTCATCTCACCCATGGAGAGAGGCCGCCACATTACGGAGGGCGTGGCGAAGCACGCAAAGACGTCGTCCGTGCAAGAGAAGTGTGTGAGGTGAGGCAGCACGATGGACTGGCCGCGGCACTGGCCCCACATGTACACATGGCCGCTCTGGGTCTTGGCGGCCGACGTGTGGGTGGAGTGGCAGGCGGCGACCTCCACGACCCTGTAAGGAAACGGACGGAGCAGTCAGACGGAGCGGCGGCCGCAGGGATCAAGAGTTTGAGGGACTCCGTCACCTCTCCTTCTCCGTCAGGATTTGAAGCGGGCTCAGCTGGTTGCTCTTGTTGCCTGTGCCCAACTGTCCATACGTGTTTGCACCCCAAGCGAAGAGCAGACCCTCGTCTGTTAGCGCCAGGGAGTGGGCGTAGCCGGAGACGATCTGGGCAGAGAAGAACTTCAGCAACAAACTGAGCCCTGAATTTTTAACCACATGCTACTGAATAGGGAATACGTTCGTCATCTGCGTACGACAAGCGAGAAAAGCTGCAGATTACAGAAAAACAGTGAAAGGGTGTGAATATTTTTCCAAGGTAGTTTACATTTGGCTCAGCATTTTCTCTCACCTGTTGCACACACACACCTTGCAGACCTACGAGTCGACAGGGAGACAGCTGGTTCCCGTTATTCCCAAGCCCGAGTTGCCCGTTCCCGTTGTAGCCCCACCCGTACACCTGCAGACAAATGAAAGGCAGAAAAATGAAAGGCATGCGTCACAGCAGGGTGGCAAACAGCACCGGCTCTGCCTAAAAAAGAAAAAAAAAAAAAAACAGTCACCTCTCCGTTGTCCACCAAGGCCAGAGACGAGGTCTGACCACAGACGATGCTGATGGCCAGCTTGTTCTGCAGGCAGCTGGAAACCCTGCGAGGCGTGGGCTGGTTCGCCGTGGAGCCGGAGCCCACCTGGCCGCAGTTGTTGTAGCCCCACGCGTACACCTGGAGGACAAGGTGGCCACATCGTCAAGGCAACCAGCTGAACTAAAAGCATGACGACCAATAGCTTTGTCACATGAAATCCTGCTTAAATATACTGAAATCTGTAGCTGTGTGGAGAAAAATTTCAGAGGGTTTGAGAGCTTTCAGAGTAACGTTCAAAGCACAAAGTGTGGAAAATTCTGCTTTTCTGCCAAAGTGCAGCTTCTGCTGTAAATTAACTTGAAGCACAATAGGTTCCTTTGTCCTGAGCTTGTTTTCCAGACTTCAGCTCACAGAGGATTATTCGTGACTGGACTTTAGTTCCTGCTCAACACTCCCTCCAAAACAAAAGCAAATCTGCTTTCTGCAGAAACTCTGGTTAAATGCAAAGACCTCTGTTTATGTAAAATGCAAAAACAATTTGCTGAGTTCATCCCAGGAAACTCACTTCTCCAGAGTCAGTCAGAGCCATGGAGTGGTGGGAGCCACAAGCCACCTCCATGACCTTCTTGTTGATCAGGTTGGCGGACACAACCACCGGAGCGACTCCCTGATTGGTCGTCCCGTTTCCAAGCTGGCTGTAGCCGTTATGTCCCCACGCGAAGAGCTCTCCGTCTGAAACGCACAAGCACTTGTCGATCCAGCCCAGGTTTTGTGTTTGCGGTGAAATCGGGGACGCGTTCTGTGACGCTACCGTCTGTAGCCAGCAGGACGTGGGGCCCGCTGCCGTAGCTCAGGCTCACCACCTTCCTGCCGCTCAGGAAGTCCAGCTTCTTGGGGACGATGGTGCTCTGGCTGTCCCCCGTCCCCAAGCAGTTGCTGCAGTTCAGCCCAAACACAAAGACCTGGACATGCAGGAGAAAGGGTGGGGACGAGCGATTCGGAGGCTTAAACAGACAGTTATTATGAATCTAAGGAAGCTCTAAACAGGGGGGTCATTAGCTTTGATTTAAAGGAACTCAAGTGTCCTTTAAATGTCCTTTAAATCAAGGTTAATGTCCTCTTGTCAAATAAAAACTTTTCCAGGCTTGAATTTCACTATTTTTCCAGGACATTTTTGAAAACATTCTCAGGTCTTGAAGACTAAACATGAAACAAAACAGGATGCTGAAGCTATTCCACAGCTTTTTTTTTTTTTTAAATCAACAATAAAACTCATAGTGATTTTTAAAAATAATCACGTCAAAACTTACCAAATCTGGATCTAATTATTCGACACATGTATATTTGAGATCGGTAACATTATTCTATTTATAGTTTGGGGAAGTTTCAATGCTTTTGCAGCTAAAACAAAACCAGCTTAAAAGCATGATCTAAAACTGTAGCAGCCATGTTTTGTTTTTTTTTATTTGTTTTCTGGATGAGTCTTTTTCTTTTTTAATGAATGAGTTGGACAGAAACTTAAGTATTGATGTGGATAAAGAGAGTTCTCCATAAGTAAATTATTATTATATAAAGTGTTTTATTTTTCAGAAATTCGCTTTTGTGTCAGTTAGATAAAAAGGAAAAATGGATTTTAGTTTGAAAACATAATTTTGCTTTCTACTCAACTGCATGAACTCTGGACCTGTTCAGCTGAGCAGCTGCAAGTGTTGATATTTCCCACCAAATAACACCAGCAGGAGGCGCTGCAGGGATCACAGCTCACATTATGAGAGAAGTTTTATTTAAGCTTCAGACACCAAGGCTTACAGCAAAAAATACTTTAATCTGACCTCGTTTTTTTTAAAAAACTCAGCTACTGAAAAGATTTAAAAAAAATGAAAGAACAAGTTCTCACATGCATTTCTGAACATAATGTCAGATTTAATCATCAACCAATTTACATTATTAGGAGTAACCGTCTGACTGCAGCTGGTGTAAATAAGATGCTGTTCCAGTCATTGTTAGCATGACTGTCACATTAATTATGTTTAAGGCTTTCAGTGAAGTTTTTGGGCCTGTTTATATTTTTATATTTTTTCAGGCTGAAACCAATACACAATAGATGTATTGTGGATTTTCTCTAATCCATGCAGGATCGAAAGTATGCCTACACCCCCCACACTATGCGGTTTAAGGTTCCTTAGCAAGATTTACATAGATCCAAATCCCATGTGACACCAAAGTCCATGATGGGTGTAAACTTATGAGTGGAGATGCAGGCAAAAAAAAAAAAGTATATATATATAACTTATAAGTTTATAAGTTGTAAAATATATAAAGTTTTGGTCTCTGGTCATTCTCTTGGTAAAAAATAATCATATTTGCTATTGTCAAAGGTTAAACAGATTGTTTGTAACAGCAATAGATTACATAGAAAACTCAGTAAAACAAGCAGAAAATAGTGATTAAAAAATAATATTAAATGAGATCCTGTGCAAAAAAAATAAAATAAAATCAGTAGATATGAAAAGTTATGTTCTAGATAACGTCCTAAAACACAATACATCACCCCTTGCGTAACGAACTCAAACCAAAAAAATGTGTTTCCTGTGACCTCTCACCTCATCGTCATTGGTGATGTAGATGGCCTCGTTAGCAGACGAGCCAAACACGCAGGCCTTCCTTATTGATGGGAGTTCCTCCGGTGCCATAAGGCTGAAAATGGGCCATTTGGTTACATCCACCATGATGTGCTCGCTTTGGCCGGTTCGCCCCCAGCTGCTGTCACTGTTTTGAGTGGATGAGGGTGCATTCATTTAGACATCAGAAATAATTTTCCCCTTTGTCAACACACTTAGACAATCACAAAAATATTCAGGAATCTGGATCAGTTTTCACATTCTGATCTAATGCGAGTTAAAGCCGAACACACACACACACACACACACGATAGAGATTAGACATAGGCCGCATCACAATGTTTCATAATAACTCAGAGATAAGGCAATGATTTAAAGGGAGTAAAAATCCTCCTGCTTTAACTTTTAATCTTTAACAAGAATGTTTCAGCTCCAAACTCACTTAAATGACAAGATGGGAAACAAGCCGGATCTGATATGGAAGAAGAGTTTTTTTTGCACCTGGAAGGATTGTCGAATATCGCTTTAGTAATTAGACAAATTTATTACCTTCAAACTTCAGTGTTCAGTTCATTGAAAAATAAATGGAAGATATAAAAACATTAATAGATCAAATGTGCAACAAAACATCTTCTTAATAGCAGCTTAATGTGTTTAAGCTAATTTGCACAAATTAATTTTCATAAGACATGCATCAACCATTAATCTGTAAATTATGTCGATTGTGTTAATGAAACTAAAACTGTATGCAAATATTTTTTATTGTTTTACTTTATTAGGTCATGAATGTGAACTTTACCTTTTTCTTGCTTGCTGTAAATCCTTTTCTATTCCACTTTAAATATAAAAGCTCTATTTGATACAAACATCTGAAGAAAAAAGAACAAAGTAAGACTATCCATTCAATGAAACTGTTATATTGTGATATATTTCATTAACGGAAAATGTAATTAAAATTGTTTGTGTTAAGAAAAAATGTGACTTTTTAATCATTGGCCAAAGGATTGGTGCATCTCTACTGAACAGTAAACCTACGGTACTGTCAAAATTAAAGCAACTACCAATACATGCTGTTCTACAATGGAAACTATATCTTAAGTATTTTGGGGGTGTGGCAGTGGAGTTAAAGTATTTTACAAAAAAATCTAGCTTGTCCCTTTAATTTCTCCCCCGACCCCCACATTCTCCTTCCGCGACAGCTTTGCTAAAGCATTTGTTTACGAAACAAATTATAATCCTCAGCAGATAACGGGTTTGTGTGAACTGTGGACTAAATATGAGTTGGAGTTGCAGACATCAACGCTCTGTTGTGTAAATGGTAAAAACGGGACTCGGGCTGACCTGCGCGTGTGTTTGTGATGAGCAAACAGCAGAAGCTAAACGCTAAACGCTGGCAGGGACAGCAAGCTGGAAGCCGATAGCTGCCTGTTAATGTTTGCCTTTGTTACAAACACATTATTCAAGCAAAACACCGGTCAGCAAAAAAACTCTAGAGGAGCTGCTGCTGGACTCGTCTGATTGGAAAAATCCGTTCTAATCTAGGTCGCACTGCAAATAGAGAGAGAGAGAGAGAGAGAGAGAGAGAGAGAGAGAGAGAGAAACCGGATAGCAGGAAGAACATTGAGCGTAAAGAAAGGATATAATTCGCTCACCTGAGTGTTGAGTCTTTCTAAGAGGAAGATATTCCGTCTGACAGCTTCGGCATGGCGTGCGGAGATGTCGGCACCTCTGTAGGTTTTACGTTCTCTGCTGGAACAGAAACAACTACTGCTCCAACTGGCGTTTGTTTGGGGAAGTGGCGCGAGCAGAACACGTCACGTGACCACGAGACCAAAACAATCGAGTTCGGCTTCCGGTAAGTAGAACAGCAGCATGAAAACTCGCTCGAGATTTTTACAGAAGGGACCTGTAAGAACACCAAAATGGCACTATAATTTATATTTTATATGAACAAAATCTATAATAGTATCAGGACATTTTTATTAAGGGATATCCTCTCAGAAAACAAAAATATTTATACAGGTCATCAATAGAGAGTAAATATCTAGAATGTGTAACAGATATCTCAAATAAAATGCATTAAAGAGTATTTTTATTTGCCAAGCATCTATTTATGTCATCTTATTAAAAGTGTAATTAAAACTATTATCAATATATGTCATGATTGATATCGTAAATATTAAATATGTTGTATTATATTCATATATAAAGCATAAAAGCTTCAATAGACACTGAAAATGTCAAATTCCCTACTTAACACTTTGTCTAAAGTGTGTGTTTTTAAAATAAATATTTATTTAATCTGAGTAATCTGAATAAAATATTCATCAAAAATAAAATTGGAATAAAAAGAGAAAGTAAATTTAAGACTTGCTGTGATACAAATGTAATGTCAAACATAATTATAAATGCTTTAACACAAATAATACAGAATTTAATGAATTATTTTAACATTTAGTTATTTTAATTATGTAATAAAGTATCTGAAAATTTTAATTATCAAATTTATTAAAGAAATATATGCATTTCCAATTTTGTGGAAGTGATTACAGATATACATTTGCCTTATTGATGTATTGCATGACGACACTTTGTCTCTCAACAATATATGCAGTTCTTATAAAATACTGAATGTCAACATGTTTAGAACATGAATTGGGGAAAAAAAATTCAACGTAAAGATTAGTCTGAAGGATGACTGCAGATGCTTCTTTCAGACATGACAAACTCTAATGTCGGATACTGCTGCAGACAGAACAGTAACAGAGAAGCAGAGGAGGAATTAGATGGCCTCTCTGTGCACAACAGCTAAACAGATCAAGAGTCCGTCTCCATGTTGTCACCAGAGAGAAACCGGCAGCATGACCTGCTGGCGCTGACTGATGTCATCAGCTGAGCAGTTGCCAAGCTACAAATGTCTGTGACACTCTGCAGCTTCTCAACAGAGCATAAAAGGACTTTTCATCTCTATTATTTATTTATGGAGTCACTTTTCCCTAATTATAGTTCAACAATGTAATGCTCGCCTTGAGAATGAATCCAGTATGAGTCAAACGTTCTGCTTTAGGAAAGAATTTCCCCACTTCCAAATTCCCTTGTGCATGTCTAGAACGCGATAAAATTGTCTTCCGACAGAACTCGGTCATTTACATTTCTGAATTTGTGGATACCATCGAGTCCCCTAACAAAAATCCAGTTCTATCAACTGTCAACAGAAGTCATAATTGCCATACAGAAGACTTCAGACAGCACAACAGTACAGCTGTGAAAAGCCAGTTAGGTTTTATACTCACAGCTTTGAAAATGTTACCACTGTGAAATGTGGTAGTGGCAGCATTAAGCTGTGGAAATGCTGGGGCGCAAATGGAACGATGAAGATAAAACTAAACACTGGTTAATATTAGAAACACGTTAGTGGAAGCAAAGGACTCAACACTGGGCCTTCCACTCGAATATTGACTGTAAAGATACTCAATGAAAAGCTTGTATTAAAAAAAAAAAAAGACATTAACAAGTTTGTGGCATGGACCGAAAACTGATGTTTTTCTTTTCATCTGACTTGAGGTATTTTAGAAAAGTGTAAAGTTGGGAGACAAACTTTCAGCTGTAATTGCACTGAAAGGTGGTTTCAAAAGACATTCGCTTAAAATGGTAGAGTAGAAACGCACACCGCACTTTTCAGATTTTTTTGGGGTAGAAATACTGCATTTCCCCTGTTAAAACACCATACTTTCCCCAGACTTAATTTTCTTTATTAATCATGAAAGAACATGATGTGAAGCTTGGTTTCCGATCCAGATGTTTGGTAAAGGGCATTAGTTTAATTTCATTTTTTAGCCAGTTAAGTAAACTTAAAACTACGACTCTTAAAGCTATCAAATCTGGACTGAATTGTCCTACAATAAACTTTTACAAACCGAAAAAAAAAAAAGTACGATTAGGAGATTTAGTGATTTGGTCAATACCTACAACAGACAAATTTAAAACCCACAAAGTCCAGCCTAAAACTTTGATCCAAGGGTAAATGCCACAATTTTTCCCCGCCAGCTGATTCTTCTGCTTCCTTCCTTACTTAAGTAGGGCTCCAAATCCATTTTCTCTTGTTTTCACTCATTTATTGAAAAAGTGGTTAGACTTACAAACTATAAAATTGGCTAAAAGAATTATTGGATTTTTTTTTTTTTTATATCAAGTGAAATCATTGAGTGGCAAAAATAAATACATAAATAAAATACAGTTCTATATGAAATAAGGAATTCATTTTTTTTCTTTTAGACAATGGGTTATTGAATGAAATTTTAAAACAGTTCTTTTTTTCCATGCCGCCTTTCTTTTTTGCACTCATCTAGACCTGGAAATTGTTAAAACCTAGTCTGTGCTTCCCACTGTGTAGGAATGTAGGAGTTAATGTTGGTCTATAAAACATTGAGTTTTAATGCGAAAATATGCATATATGATAAAAGCCCCGTTGTTTTCGATATTTAACATGTGAATATAGGTCAGGCAGGATCAATGGCCCATTTTTTTGAAGCTGGTTATCTTATACATCACGTTGTTTGGACCGACTCCACGGGAAACCTCTATTCAAAGTCTAAGGCTAAGTTAATGATTGCCTTCTTGGTCTTTATCTCCAACGGTTGGAGACCCCCTCTGCGGGAAAACTTCTCGCATTTTAGCCAACCCAAGAAAATCTCCTGGACATGTGAAACAAACACTTGGAAGCTACAAGGAACAAACGGCTAAACAGCAAGTTTATTTTGGTTAGAATCAGAAACACAGACGATGTCCTGAGGGTGAAATAGGAAAGGAAACCACGGGCTGTTGACTGAAATTATGGCAAACCGGTGATGTTTGTGGAGTCGGGGAGGAAGGAATGGTGTTGTACATTGTTCAGTGGGTAGAAGGTATGAAAGAAACAGTTGTTTTTGATAGCAGAGAGCAGCACTGACCATTCCTCATGGCAAACTCCAACAGTAGGGAGACGACATATTTACCCCTGTGTGAAGATTCTCCAGTTGCTCCATTTGTTCAGAAAAATCTATGCGCAGTTGAAATAAAAAAACAAAAAACAAAAGGCACAATGATTTCTCAACTCATTATTGTCTTTAATATGCACAAGAGTTGAAAGCATCAATGAGCCACCTTAAAGAGAAGAATTCAATCTAAAATTTATAAAAAGATACAAACAATCAGAGGCCAAAACGCTGTCTGTTGCTTCTTTTTCCTCCTATTATTTCACTTAAAACAGCTTTTTATTAGCAAGTAAAAATCTTGCAAACATAAGCTTGCATCCAATTTGGATGCAAGACAACAAAATTGTAAATCTTTAAAGTGGCTCGGTCTAGTCTGCTAGTTCATGACTGTACACCCTCTCTATAGTTTTGTTCAGTAATATTAGCTAATCCCAAAAAAAAAAAAAAAAAAAAAAACTCCTGGCTGCTTTTAACAGCCCTACCAGATATTTAAAGCCCCTCACTGTGATCCAGTCGCTGCTCTGAACACCCACCCCAATAATCTGAAAAGTTAGCAGCCAAACCAGCGGATTCATCTACAAGACCAGGGGGGGTTCGGGGTCCGACTTGAATTTAGTCGCCTCGGCCCCGGATCTAAAAGACCAACTGGAACGTGGGACGGTACATTTTCAAAACAGCCGTCACCGCGATAAGCAGTGAAAACAAAACAAACCAAAAAACAACAGCCTACTCAAATTTATCAGCATGTAATCACAATACATTTGCAAGTCAAAAAATAAAATAAAATATTGCTTCCAAAAAAAAAAGAAGAAAAGAAAAAAAAAAAAAACCCCCCCAGCCATGTGGGAAAGTTATCAACCATCCAATGACCGTCAGCTGCAGCAGCTTTGTACAGGCTTTATGTAAATATATTCATATATTTGTTAGACGGTAAGGAGAGATACACATCACATTTGCTTTTTTTTTTTGCTTTTGTTTTTTTTTTTTTTTTTTTTACAATTATTCAAATCGAGTGATGACATGTGACCTCTTAATCAAAAAGTAGTTAAGTACTATAAAGATCAGGACCTGCACTCTGTATGAGGCTAGTCTTCAATGACCATAGGTCCCTTTCTGCAGGCAGACGTCACTGTGCCTCAATTGTGTGCATAAGACTGGAGAAAAATAAAACTAATAAAAAATAAAATAAAAATATTCCACAGATTATACCAGACCAGCCTGAAATGTGAAATCAATATTCGTTCAAATTGAGAATTTCTTTAAAAAGAAAAAAAAAGCTAAAAATAACCTTATGGTTTGATTTCAGTTTGAAGGGTTTTTTTGTTGTTGTTTTTTTAAACCCCACCCCCATATCTGAGTTTTCACATTACAGGGGAATCCAGAGGAAAACAGTTCGCAGGGCGGGGGGTGAATGGTACGGCTGATGCGTTCCCCCTTTTGTAAGTCTCTGTGCCTTCATCGTCCGCCTGGTGACCGAAAGTTACATATTTTGACGACCCAAAAAAAAAAAAAAAAAAAGTTGCTGCTCTTCTGAATCTGTAGAGGGACGTTAGCAGGTCTCCCCGTTTGTGTTGAGGAAAAAAATAAAATATGGCATTTTCTTCACATTTGATGAATTCCTTTAAAAGAGTAATATTTTGACAGAGGTCACACCAAAAAAAAAAAAAAAAAAAAATTAAAAATCGAGACAGAAGTCCCGTCAGTCAGTTTGCCACGGATTCCTCTATTGTTTTTACCTTTGAGCCCTTTCACACCTCCACCTCCTGGGAGGGCGGAGGGGAGGGGGTCCGTGGAAATCATGGCTTAGCTCGGAGATTATCTCTTTAAAATAGGTGACAGAGGGGTGTGCCTGTTCATCAGGAAATATTGTGACCAAGTGTGTTCAGGTGTACAATTGTGTTTCTGTGCGTGTGTGTGTGTGCGGGGGTGAAGTTACAGCGGAGGACGATCCAGGGGAGGGAAAGCACAAAAATAAAACCACAAACCAACAGCAGTATTTCTTCCCCAGATTTGATATGACGGCTTCTAAACAGAAGTATGCACACAACTCCTAAGTGTCAGAAAGTGTGTATACATATATGTATTTCTATACATTTATATATAAATGTGAGAGTGTGTGTGCACGCGCGGTCTGAAAATGTGCTTGTGTTTCTGTCGTGAAGACTTGACATTTGGCAATTTGGATCTTGCCAAGAAGGCTTTTTTTTTTCCTCCTCCTGGTTTTACCTTTGAGTGATAGAAGCACTGGCAGCACTGACGGTTCTCCTCATGCAGGTTGCCAGCTGAACAACTAGTATGAAGAGTTGCACTAGAAGGAACTTAAAAAAAAAAAACAAGACAAAGAAAAAGCTCCCCACAGTGCAGAAGTGGCTGTGATTTAAATCCTTTAGTGGCGAGCATGGTGTTTTAAAATCCCTCTGTACCGGGTTTGCCAGATTGTTGGGAGAGATGGATGAATGTCTGCGGTAATTACAGGACGCCCCTGCAACTAGTGGAACCAAACATCCTGGCTTTTTAGAAATTGAACTCCTTTGTTTGCATGTTGGATGCTGGGTCAAAGTTGAAGGTTCCTCCTTGAGTGGTTTCAGGGATCAAGCTGGGGTCCTCATCAATCTGAAAACAACAGATGTCGTCAAAACTGATTTTAGAGCCAACGCAAAGAGGAGAAAAACAAAAAAATAAAATATAGAGGCAAATTGGTGATTGAGAACTTACATCATCTCCTGAAAAGTACTGATCAATGATCTCAAAGGCTAATTTGTAGATATCTTCATTCTCATGTTGCTGCAAGTTTTCTATTTTCTCCAAACCTTAAAAAGGAGGACAGGAACATTTCAACAGCAGGCCAAGCAAAAACATTTATTCAGTTAGCAAAACTGAAGACGTCTCGTAGAGTTCGCTTTCACACACTGAAAAGTCAATTACAATCAATTCTAAGCACAGATAGGAAACTAATAGAGGCCGGATGCTTTAGATGTAAAAAAAAAAAAAAAAAGCTGATTTTTTTGTAAAGTCGGCGTTTATTTTCACATGAAGAGCTGGAACTGCATTCTTTAATCGATCCAACTAATTTGTGCTTTCCTTATGTCATTTGGTGGCTATTGCAAAGTATTTGTGGAATTAAGTTTACAGTAATAGGCCGTAAACTTCAACAGCAGCTTGCTTATTCAGGTGATCTGCTCATCATTAAATTTTAATGACATCCAAGGCAAAGACCAGAGTCAGAACTGAGCTGTTATCATAGCAGTTCAGCAAGCTTAGCTCCATGACAACAGCCAGCAGGAGAAAGATGCGAGTTTATGAAAGCCTTGTTGTTAACAGTCATAAATATAATTCAGTACAACAAAAAATCTTGTTGGGAGAAAATACCAAATAAATCTTGTACTGCAATACAGGGAATTAAGCCTGTTGCAAAAAGCAATAAGTCAATTAATCACATGATAAGTTAAAATGTGGTCAATAATCACAGAAGTCCTAACTGGCCAGTGTTTCTTCCATTTCCTTTTTGGTCCGAATAATTATTAAGTGAAGGGCAATTTTGTTTACAGACTTCATGATCCATTATGTTTATGGTTTGGTTTTTATTTATCGTTGTTGGTCGGTTTGTTTCATTTTATTGTGGATATTTAAAATATATTCCTGTTCCAGTCTTCAGTGTTCTTTAGAAATATTATAGTTTATTGATCTTTGAGAGGATGTACTTTCATTATGATGTGATTATCAATACATTACTTGAAAATGGTCTCAATACAACAATATGATTATTTATTTCAATAGTTTTTAGGACAGTTTATAGTCATGACAGGCCTATGTGAAAGAAAAACATATTATATATATATAGTTTTACGAACTAATATGTCATGTTTAGTTTTCTGTAAGTTTAGCCATTTTGTTGTTAAAAATAAAATGTAAAACAAGTTACAACCTGCATACCTCTGATGACATCACAAAAGGCATGAAGGCAGCAGAGCTCAATGACATCTATCTGCATTTTTCTTGTTTTTTTCCCCCTGTTCATGTTTTACAAATTTCTCCTTCACAAGAATACATTTGAATTCTGTTCATAAGATTTTCCAACATGCTCTGGTCACATCATCATTGTGCTTCTTATGATCTCAATCCAAAAATCAAACCTTATTTTAAAAAATACTTTGCATTTAGTGGAAATCCTCCAGTGGAAATCCACATTTATTATTTTACAATTAGCTAAGGACGCCTATTCTTCACATCTCTGTCCCAGCTGGGCCATTCCTAATGTTAACCAAAACGAAGTGAGTGAACACAGACCTCCACACTCCTCTATGATTTCAGCAATGGTGCTGGCTTCGTCTCCAGCCATGATGAGGATGTTCTTGAGGCCGTCCAGGACAACCTGCACCACCTGAGAGTCCTTCACTGACAGCAGGTTACAGAAGGGAGGGATGACATTCTGCTCCACTAAGAACTCCACCTACACAAACCCATACATACACACCACATTCATACTTTATTGCAACACAGGTACACAGTTACAAGTCTGGAAAACAACCTTACTCAATTCACAGTGATATTTAAAGAACAAAATGTTGCCAAGATGCATCCGTCAAATGAGACTTCTTTATGTTCTGGTGAATATTTACTACTAAGGTCAATACCTTAACAGGTGAATTCACAAATTAAAGCAACTTAAATGTAAGGAAAGTGAATAAAGAAAGAAAGTCAGACTCACCTGGTCTTTCCTCCCACTGATGGTGAGGTTGCTGATGGCCCATGCTGCTTCCTTCTGAGTGCCAAAGTCGCCCTGCGGAGAGCCAGTCTGTTAGCAAAAAGTCCTACCACAGCATACTGTCAGGGCAGACATTAAGTCTTGGTGGTAATTTCATTCTAAGAGCGTGTTTCTAAAATTAATAAATAAAAACAAAAACATCAGATTAGCACTGAAGAAATATACTTTTCCAAACTGGATTTGTTGCAACCATGAGAATGAACGTAAAGCTTAAACGTCGAGCACAAACCTTGGCCAGTTGGTGGATGATCATAGGAATTAGCCCGGCCTCGATAACAGCCTGGACCTGCTGCTGGTTCCCAGCTGTGATGTTGGACAAGAACCAGACAGCTTCCTGTAAACAAACCAATCACAAATGGTCAAAACTATCCCCCCAAAAAAACGTTTTCAACAACAACCACTCTTCAAACCAACTCCATTCATCCTTTACATTATTATCAGACTTTAAATGGCTACATTACTCCCATTAAACGCCAACGCTGGGTTTTGATTAGTATATTTTCACACTATCACGACGATAGTGTGATAGTGTGAATTTATAAATTCATATAAGTTTACGGACATTTTTAACAGAACAAAAAACGCCATTTAGTCTGCGATACCTTGTTAATCTTTTCTTTAGGATGGGTGAGCAGATTGGGGAAATGTGAGAGAACATCGCAGTTGAGAACCACCTGGGTCTGCTCGTCTGTTCCTGTCACAATGTTTCCAACTGCCCTCAGAGCTGCAGTCTGGAGTTTGAAGACGAAAGAGCAAAAACAATTCACTTAATTATAGAGACAAACAACATTCAGCTCGGCAGAACAATGTCTTACCTGAACTTTCACCTCCTGATGGCTGAGGAGAGGCACAAGAAATGGAACAACTCCAGAATCAATGACCATCTGGATCTGTTCGTTTCCTCCGTCCGTCAGATAGGACAGAGCCCACACTGTGTCTACGAGTATCTAAACACAATGAGGTGAATGATGATTGCAAAATTTCAAAGGTAAAACTGGCATGGATAAAAAAAAAAAAAAATACATTTTATTCAGTTCAATGCTTACATTTATATCAGTGTGATATATTAGCACACAGAGAGCAGGCAAAATCTGTGAAAAGGAAAAGGAAAAGTTAGATTTGGGACATAAACAGCTGTGCATGGTACCGAACTAAAAAACGTCAACAGAACTGGGAGACCGTGCTAGCATGAGGTTGGCAGGTCAGCAAACTAATCTGCATGAAAATATGCAGCACAGTGATACAAGTTTATGGAAAACTGTATCTGGGATTTCTTTTTTACCAGAAAATCTGATATTGCTACATTTTTTTTCTCCTTTCCATTTTTAAACCAAAAGTAAATCTACGCTCCTACAACAAGCTTCCATGTGCGCCTCCCTCTGATGACATCACATAAGGCAACAGATAGCAGCTCGTAAGTGCATCCGTTTGTTTTTCTCTTGTTGATTTTCTGTATTTCTTTTTTTTTTTTTACATCAATTTCCTAATGCCAGCTGATCACTGTCATCCTTGTACCACTTGTGATGTCATCAATCAAAACACAAAAGCTGAAGTATAGCTGGTTTTTTAACGCGTTTTTTACAAATGGTAAAAGTGAAATCTTGCTGTGGAAATCCATAGTTCATTTCCAGCTGTTTTTTTTTATTTTATTTTTTATTTTTTTACCATCAGTGTACAACAAAAACACAGTAATAAAAGGAAGGGGAAAAAAAAGGTACCAAACTTGAATAATCACAGTTTTATACTCCATCCTCCTTCTGTAGTAATTACGAGAACAGAAAATTCCCTGGAAAAGTTAAGCGCACTAATGGACAAATTGCTCTCCGGACACACCCACCTCTTGCACCGTCTCCATGGGCGGAGGCGGATCCTTGTTGCGGCAGAGGTTAACGATGACCCAGGTGACATTGCGGAGGAAGGTGATGGGGATAGATGGGTTGATGAAGGAAAGCAGAGGCTTCACTACGCCCAGGGAGATGACATAATCCCTGCACTGTGGACCGTCGCCTGAGCAGGAAGTGATGAACATCTCAGCTCGGGCTGTTGCTTTGCTCATGGACACTTGTGTCAGTGAGTCAACACTCACCTATGATGTTTCCTAAAGCCCATACGGCCTGTTCACAGACGTTCTGGTGAGGAGAGTGTAGCAGCCGCAGGAACAAGGGCACTGCGTCTAGATATGCAAACATCAACAAATCAAAATTCTGCCCGAGGTGGCGGCTTGTGCAATTCCACAGAAAAGCTCGTTTCCCAGAACACTTGAAGCCAAAATAAATATAAATCTACTGTGGAAACTCGGGGCTCCAAACATCCCATGAAAACTGAAGCGGAGGCGACAACAAAACAACCTTCATAAATAATTTACTGGCCGTGTTCTTAATGATAAAAGCAACGCTTGAGGTAAACGCACACACACTCCTCCTCTGGGTCAAGGCCTGAGTGTTTGTCTCTGCCTTGTAAACTTTGGCACAGACAAAACACTTTCAAATTATCTTGCATGTCTGCAACACCCAATAAGCACCATTTAAATTAAAAACGCTCTACTTGGTTCATTTGCATAAACAAAAAAAAATATCTGAATTTTGGAAATTTCAGTTTTATTTTTGGAATAAGCTTGAATAAATAATGTGGGATTAAATCAAAATCTGACCAATATTTTTTTCCACACTTAATCTGTTCAAAAAAAAAAAATTCACATCATAAATAACATTACTCTCTTCTTGTTGGATGTGACAATCTCACACATCCAGTCCAGACATGAAGCATCGGATTGTATTGCATGTTGGGAAATTTATTGTCATTACAATTTGATTCTAAACAATATGAATAAGACAAGAAGTTCTTGGACTGCGGTAATAAAGAGGTAATAAAGCACTAAGCAATCATCATCTTTGTACTTTCAATGTATTTGTTGATGCTTGTTTACTGCAATAAGCAGTTTATCACATAATAAATTAAAATGAGCTTTATAAATTTGGATGATTAAACGCAATAATCCACTTTATTTACGTTTCGGTTGTGTGTGGTTTTCATTTCCGTTATATTTATAGTTTGAGGTTGTTGTGTTTTATTTTGGATATTTGAAATACGTTTAGTTCCACTGTGAAGTGTTTGTTACAAAATTAAAGTTTATCGGTCTGTGAAAGGATGAACTTGAACCATTACTTCAAAATTCATATATTACTTCAAAATAATCTCAAAACAAGAATATTATCAGTTTATCGCAATAATTTCCGGGACGATTCTTCCAGTAAAATGTTATTGTGACAGGCCTAAACATTAAGATCCTCTGACAAAGTTGCTCCGTCAGCTGTAGGCAGATGCAGTATTTTCAGTGAAAATATGCAGAAACAGAGGACCTAATGAGTCACACAGTCATCATGACATTCACCATCATTATCACACTTTGCATGTATTCCGAAAGTGCATTTTCTAACTTCAAGGGAAAGCTTCAGTCGGATTCACCTTCTCTGTCCCACTGGCGAGTCAATTTGTACATTTTGAAACGCGACCAATTTTCTAAACTAAAAAAAAATAAAAAAATAAAAAAAATACAAAAATGCTAGCTCCTCAGACTGCAGACAGTACATAAACACAGACTGACAGGGTAACACCGGGGAAGACAGAATGCCGGGTCAACATACTTGATTTAACCACAGCCTGAGTCTGTGCTGACGTCCCAGAGGCGATGTTGGTCAGAGCCCAGGCTGCCTCGAACTGAAGTGAAGGACTGTGGGATTAAGAGCACATTTAAATCAGTTAATAATAAGCAAAAAATCAGCCGACCCCATTTATAATCGACATTTGCCTCGTTCGTAAAATATTAAATGCAAATAATTGGCTATAAACAGATTTAGAGTTCAGACTCTTTAGCAGAATACAGCTGAGTTTATGCTAGAGCACTATAATGAATTGTTTTCCAGAAAAACTGATGCAACACAAGAAAATAAATCAACATATTGTGGTCAAGTGATTAATCCATCTGCCACAATAAATATCTAACTGGCTCCAATAATTATCTGGAATCTCCGAGGGGTTTGATTTACTCCTCCTCAGAACAGATATCAAATAAACAACATCGCTTTGGCGTGACGAGCCTCCTGTTAGCTAGCGGTGAGAATTCAGAGACCCAGTTTAAAGAGCTTCAAATGACTTCTATTGTTTTCTTTAAGTGGTTATAGATGTCACATAAGCGTGTGTTCTTCTCATAACAGTTAAAACTATATATTCTTTTCCAGAGTATTAATGCTTTATAAATATGTTTCACAGTCTAGCTATCGTTTGATTCCACTGTAAACTTCTATACCTCTTCTTCCTTAAGGATCTTACAAACAAGCTATTCAATCTGTCCCCTGAGTGAGCACAAGGTCCTGGGAATTGGGGAACTCTTAGAGACAGGAATGTCGATATATTTGGCTTGGCCTGAGCTGAGAGAGCCAGCCAGCTGCCCTGCATGCCTCCACACACACTCTCACGTGTGGTCACAGTGGGGAACAACAAGTGCAGTGCACACCAAGCTTCTGTTGCAACAAAAACCTGCTACAGTAGCATCAGATTTTGAAAATGATACAGAAATATGCCTTTTTTTTTCAGAAAAGGGCAAATAAATGGTGTGTTGCATAAAAGATACCTGAACAGACTTACTTGTCATCCCTTTCCAGGCATTTGACTAAGATGGGCAGGATCCCAGACTTTATCAAGTCATCAATAGGAGGGTTTCTGTCACTGGAGAGAAGTTTTCTGACAAAACAAAACATCAGGATTATTATTATCAATGAAAACCCGAGTCATTTTAACATACACGCTTTGGTTTTAGAGCAACTTACCTGGCTGCTTGCACTGCACTGAGCTGTATAACAGCATTGTCACTGGTTGCGTTCTGTGTTTAAAAAGAGAAACAGGATTACATGATAATACAGAATCAATGTGCAACATGCAGAATATTTAGGACAGATTTAACAATCATAGGATAAATTTAATTCCTACCTGTAAGATTGCATCAAGTGTAACATTTTGCTGCAAAACAAGAAGAATAGGGTTATTAAAAATCTAGTCCATATTACTATATATGTGTTGACACCATCAGTTGCAATAGATCCACACTTTTGACCACTGAAAGACTCTCCAACAGGCTGAATAAATTACTGGTTTTACAAAATCTGACATCTTGATACTGGGCGTATATACTGTGAGGATATAGTTGTGAAATATTGTGCAATTCTACTAAAATATTACAAAATGGATAATGTTTTACTATTTCTGTCTCGTATGCAGAATTTAAACTGGTCTCTGTTCATTTGAAGAGCAAAAACAACTTAAAAAAGTACAATCTCTAAACAAATTTGATTTTTTTTTTTAATCCACAATAAACTGCATTTGTACATTAGTATGTTTTTTTTCTCAAGATATACAATTTTAAGGCTATGTTAAATACTTATTCATTTCTTTACACTAATCTCTGGTACTTTAGACCACAGGTTTTTTTTTTTGTTTTGTTTTTGCAAAAGGGTAATAATAAAAAATAAAAACAAATAAAAGCTACAAAAGTAGCCTAAAGGACCTCACTCTCATGGAAATGTATAGGAGTAGATAAGACTTCAGTATCATTTGATTACGTATAAAGAGATTTTTGTTGACCCAGCAACAACAAAAGCTCCACATAGTAACATAAGAAATAATAATTATAAATAATTGGGGTAAAGTCTGTGCAATTTCCATAGTAATAATGATAGTACATTTTTAAATGAGCCAATCATATGTGAAAATGTATGCAGGTGCCATCACTGCAAGATGAGCGCAGGTGAGATAATATTAAAAATACAGAAGACTTGAATATTTCAACCATCTGCCAAAGCAGTTTCTGTCCATCACTAATGTTATTTTTATTTGATCAGTCTTTAGTTATCAACTAGTTTTGAATATTGTTGTGCAATAGCGTTGGTCGCTTTTAAATAAAGGTGTTGAGGCCAACATGCCCAAACCCAGCGTGCTTGAAATCTTACATCAACACAACTGATGTTCACTGCATTTGAAACAAACTGGTAAGACTGGAAGACATAATTTATTCAAATTTGATTTTATTTTTTTGGTATAAATTATATTTATACATCAGAACATTGTGATTAAACAGAATTAGTCTTTTTCCAGTCGTTTTTACATGTGCTGAATTTTAAACAAAAGATACAATCTCTAGAACTAAACTCCTCTCGTGCGTTTCTTGCCTGGGTCTTCACAGATAAAGTGTGTGTCAAGATATGGTAGGTTTCTCTAGTCTCACACACACACGCACGCACACACGCGAGCGCACACGTGCGAGCACACACACAGGCTGCCGCCTCAAGCTGCAGAGCTGGATCTTAAGAAATACGTAGGAGTTAACTGCTGCCTGACCACTGGTGTTGTTTTGCCCATCAAGCATGTAATACAGCACAGCTTCAACTAAGAAGCACCATTCAATTCAGTTAATTTTTTTTTCTCCCCCAACAAGACAAAAACAGAGTTATGATTTCACCATCACAATGAATGACAGGCTCCCAGTGAAGCACATTTCTGTGTCAAAACAAACAGGATGTTTCGTGGTGAGGAACGCAACATCCTCGCATCATAATCTGAGTTCACACAATCATCACGACTTTGAAAATATCCTCAGCCACATTGAGCACTGGGGAAGAATTTCTTCATAAATGCCTTTAAGCAGATCTGATTACCCTGTTTTCTGAATAATGGCCAGCTCTATACAATGCATCTGATTTTGAGGTGGCAAATGTTTTACTGCATACATATCAGTTGTTTGTTTTTTTTCCCCCCCAGAACTTCATGGGCTTCTTATCATTAGATTTTTTAAAAACCATTTAAATATGCACAAAAGCTGTTTGTTTTATTTTGTCTCCCTGTGACCTGTTATCTTAACAACCCGGTCTCTCAGTCCAACAAACTCCCACACTTACCCCTTTAAAGTCTGAATCCACATCAGAATCCTCCAGACTCTCCTCCTGTGGGACATTTCTCTTCTTCAGTAAATGTTCGTCTCGTTTATTCTGGCCAAAGGAGAAAAACACAGGAGGGCAGCGAGGAGTGTTAATATATTCATGAATGCTTAAACAAGCACAAGACACAGTCTAATCTTTTGGAACCCAGATAAAACACTTTAACTGCAGCCTCGCTTGAAAGCCAGCATCAAGTGGTCAGTTTGAAAGAGAAGGTTTAAAAAAAAAAAAAAAAAAAAAGCCTGCACAAATTAATCTTTGCTGGACACTGAATCTTGAGTCTAAATCCCGACACGCTGCAACTCTGACAAGCTCATATTCACACAGCATGCGTCTGCAAGGCATGTGAGTCAGTGGTAGGAGGAGATTCCCTTGCCCTACATTCCTGTGCATCATGCTGACGTGCGTCACAGATGACTAATCAGCTAGTGCAGTGCTTCTTGTTGCTCTGATCCGGCTAAAAAGGAATGTGCTAGACTCAGAACCGCTTTAGTACTTCACATAGAAAACGTTCAGTACTGTTACTTCAGCCAGTGTCCCTGACGGCTGAGTTGCTCTGAGCAACAGCTGGTTTGGACACATGAATCTCTTCGACCGTTAGGTTAAAGGATTCGAATGATGTTTAAATGCTGACCAGACAACTAAGTGGGAACACATTTCTGCCAGACATCAGATGTCTTTATTTAAAAGTTTAATATTTTTCTAGAAAAAAAAAAAAAAAAAAGATGAGAATGAGTCAACTAAATACTTTTAGGAAATGTAATCCTGTTTGGGAGCAAGCACTCCACATAGATCAGCCTTGATACCACAGTAGTTATATGTTTCTTGGGGACAGTCATTGTGGTCGCACAACATTAAGATAAGTCAAGAAAGGGAGGAAAGTGAGGAGAAAATTTGAGAAATAAATTTCTGGATGCCAAAACTGTTGGCCAGAGCAAAAATGCTCAGTTATAAACACAGTTAGCTTAGCATAAAAGAGCAATGTAAGCAATTACTTCACAAACTCTGAATTTTAGGTTATTATTTCTCCATATATTTGTCCAGACTGGGACTTTGAGGATAAATTAAAGCCTGAAACGTTGGAGCAGACATCCTGACAGCTAATCTCTGGATCAAGGTGACTTGGCGTGTTTTATGGAAAACATTATTACTACATTTTTTGTCCTGTTTGGCTAGTGTCTAAATGCTCTAAATGCTGAATAGACTAAATGCTGAATAGTTCAAAACCTAAGAAGAAACTTTAAAATAAACTTCAGATAGCCAATCATAACATATATATGTGACAACTCTGATAACCAAGGAATTACTAAAGATTACCCAACAGCTAAAATTGTATAGATGCAGCTCTAGGATTTTCTTGTTTTAACAGCACAGACTTCCTCACAAATTCTCACCCCAGAAACACTGCAGCTGTGAAAAATCACCCCCATGCATGTGTGTGACACCTCAGTAATGCCAAAGCACAGTGGCAAGAAAACCTTTGTTCAGTCTGTTCATTAAGCTATTCTTTATATTAATAAAAGAAAAACTTAAGATGCAGAAAAAAAATACAGCTGGTGATGATAATTATAAACAGCCTATTATAATCTGAATAGGGCCTGATGAATGACCAGGTGGTCAGAAAGTAAAAAAAAAAAAATTAGATTTTTCTGGTCTTTTGTGCCAAGTGCTACCAAACCAATGCTAAATACAACACTGTTCGGTGAGGAAGTAGTAACAGCTGGAAGAAGATTCCAAGTTAGTCATTTCTAGTTTTTGACTGAGATGTTGTATTTGGAGTTACAATCGGATACACGCTCCTGGCCCCGACATGTTTGTGCTTAGGCTCTCAATAAAAGAATGCTGTCCTTTGCTTAACTTGAAGTATTCTTCATTACAGAACATAAACAGTGTAAGCTCTACATCTGTAGTTAAATATGTATTCAATTTCAGTTTTTGATTGATGCTGGGAAGTGATTTTCAATTATTTTTTTATTTTAAAATGCATTTCTTTTATCCAATGCTTTCATAAAATATTAAATTAGATTTTAAGCATTGTTAAAGTCTTTGTTTTCTGTCTTTTTATGTCAAGTAAAGCACATAAGATTGCCTGGTGTATTAATGCATTTCTTGCTTTAATCTTTTCTTAGAAACAATAAACCTGAAGAGTCTAAAAAAGGGAATAGAAAATTGAAACAAAAGTTTTGAGGGACCAAAATCTTAAAATATAAATGCAACTACTTAGTACGCTTGTAAATTTAGGTAGTAGGGGTATGGATACTTCAAATACATGTGCCACATGTTTCTAAAAGATTTCTGTTGATTTGGCAGCGCAAAGATCCATTAAACAAATCATGTAATCATTTAGATGTAGTATTGATTAATAAAAATAGCACTACTTGTTTAAGTGCTAAATGTGTGCAACTTCTTGCACACAATCTTGTTAATTGTAATTAGTCTCTTTTCTACTGTTGTAGATTAAATTTTAATTAGTCTCAGTAGGAAAAACAAGGTGTAGACAATGTATGGAAATGATCCCGTCTGATAAGTCAATAAATCAACCAAAGTTCCTCCAATTATGACCCTGGCCTATGCAGAGGCTATGCTAAACAAATCCTGACAGTGTCGAGAGAACAAAGACAGTATAACTATAAAAGCATTGAAAGGCAGCTTATTTATGACGGTGTTAACTTTTGCTGCTGACGTTTTGTAATATGTACTGTTGCCAGTCTTGGCCAGGATTCTCCTGCGAAAATGAGATTTAATCTCAATGGGGCTTCCCTGGTTAAATTAAAAAACAAAAATAAAACACCCCTCGTAAAAACATATTTCTAAGGCTCAGAAATGCAACTGGCCCAAGATAAGATAACTTTTACCCCAACCCTACCCAGACTAAGCTCCATGAAGACCAAACAAAACAAAAAAAACTCCACAAAATTCTTCACTAATCTTGTGTTAAAGAATGTCAGCCATTTTTGAAACTGGGGATAGGACTATATGAAAAGCACTTGATCAAAATGCAACACTACATTAAAAAAAAAATCTACCATCTTCTACCTTCGTATGCACCGACTCTTGCACTGAAAAACTGGAGCTATTTAATCACTAGCTGAAGAAGGGCTAATGGAGGCAGACAATCAAAATGTTCACAGTACCATGTTTACAACCTCAATGCCTGGCGGGTCACCAGGCTTTACTTGCCCCCCCACCAGGCTCAGCATCTTTTGATTATTTTAAATGAAGTTTTTTTATACACTGAAATTAAGACAGATTAAGCTAGGTTTCTAGTTGATGCATTGAACTGGGCTCAATGGGCTGCTCACCAATTGCGCCGCCCATGCAAATCTTTGTAAAATTAAAAAAATTTTAAACACGCAAACACGGTGGGTCGCTGGTGGACTGCCCTGCCACTGAGGCTTGGCAGGTTTTCCTGCTTTCACAGAACCAAGAAACAGCCGGCTAAATCACAGGTCATGGTTAAAAACTGAAACCACTTTGATAGAAGTCTTGTTTGGTTCTCAGATTAGTCTAAAATAGAATTGAAGCGTTTAGCATATGTTGTTTCTCACCTTTCTCAACTCAACCGTCACCTCATTTCGATGTCTTCTCATAGTCTGTAATAGAGGAAAATCGTGAATTAGGAGCCATTTTATTAAACATTAACTGCAAAGGTAAATATACATCGGAAGGTTTACACATTTTTCAAAGTATTACAGTACATTGGCTATAATAAAAAGAAAAGTTAAACCATTTTCTTCTCATTAGATGACAAAAACATTTCAATGTTCAGGGACAGAATCTTGTCAGACGAAAACGTGGAAGGTGAGACATCTGTAAATCAACCGAAACCCAATCTAAGTGATGAAAGACAGTTTAAGGGTTCAGCTAATTGCTGTATTTGTATGTCTGCTTGGGTTCCAGATCATCCATTGGAGTTGGAAATGGTCTATGATCTTGTGACTGTTTAAAAAGGTTCATGTTGCCTTCCTAAATAGACTCTTACGTAATTTGGGCCAGTCGAAACTCAGGAGGCAGGGGATAAGAGAGGCATCTCCCAACCACTGCAAACCAACGGCAATGCCAGTACATGGACCCAAATCAGAAATTATTACTGTACAGTGAGCATGTAATGGTCTAATCTGAACATTAACAACAACTAGTACAAGGTACTGCAATAAACTCACAACAAGAACTGTATTTTAAATATATTGAGGAAAATAAGTCATGGCTTTCACAGTATGTTTGGCGTTACTCTTGCAATTCAATAAAGCTGCCTGAGACGACACCAAATCTATGATGGACCAAAATAAATCCTTTTCCTATGCTGTAGCCCGAGTCATCCATGTTCAAAAACTCAATTTCATGCTTAGGTTCTAAGAAAGCCTGGGTCAGACATCCCAGATGCCTTGAATAGCATCAGGAATGCACTTGGCAGAGACTACATCGTGGTAGCCACGTGCTTCTCAACCAGACTCCTGCTTTCAAAACAACCACCAACATGGGAAGCTGAGCTGTCTTATGGGAAAGTTTTACAGTGAAACTCAAATCGCCACCACAGTAGATTTTGAAGAACCATTTTCAGACATACCTTTGTTTGGGGATTATCTCAGGATTAACATTAAACCAGAATGACCAAGCACAAGCATGTTTTTGTTTGGCAAGCCCATGACTGAGAGATATGCCATCTGAGAAATTGCTTGAATGTCATGTGTAAGTAGAATAAATCTAAATATTTGCAATTCTTTATCCCAGATTTAAAAAGCTTTCACACATTTTTGTGTTTAAAGACATAATCAAGCAGTATTTCTTCCCCAAAGAAAAAAATGAACACCGACTATAAAGAATTTGGATGCTGAATAAAAATTAAGAGCTGTAGGATCTCACAAATGTTTTTTATTTAAAGCTGACCAGAGAAAATAAAAAGCCTGTTCTGCTTAGTGTCACATTAGCAAACACTGTTGACAGATTTTGAAACAAGATCCGGAGGAGCTCAAGTTCCACTCTAGTACACTTTCATGTGTTTTATTATTGCCAAATAATACAAAATAAATCTATTCAGTTTTCTCAAATGAGGCTACAATGTTTCTCTGCAGCGATACAGAATACAACTCCAAACATCTGAAGCAGAACTTTGATACAAAACAAAAGAATAAATGGGGCAAATCAAGAAAAATACTAGTAATGGACTTGATGTTTGTTAAACATATGGACTGCAAAGTTCCAAATCGTAATTACAACAACAAAAAAAAGTGTGAACTGGGAAAGTCAGAGTTCAGCATCCAATATGGCCGCCACACATATATTATCTCAAACCACAGGCTCCCATAGGACTGTACTATCATAATTTGTCAACACATTCTCTTTGTAGTCAAACACATAAAATGTAAAAAATTACATTATCAGCTTGTATTGCTAGTAGTAGTGAACTCCACAGTAATTAGCAAATCCCACTGGTTTCCTACGAGTTTGAACAAGTTCATTCCAAGATCTGAGCTTCAACTTCTGAGACAAATCAAATGCACCCATACTCTAAAGCATCTTGATGAGTTGCTTTAGGCCTTATGTGATGTCACTGGAAGCATCTGTGCTTGGAAGTATGCTTTAGGGAGGCTAGATTTTTACCTTGAGTAATGACCATTTGAAACAAAAACGACTAGAAAAATAAGTGTTTTTTGTCGGTCAGTGGTTGTCAGTGCTACTGTCCTCCATGTTTTAGAAGCGTCTCTCCTCCTACACACCTGATTAGAAATTGTACCACAGAAGTCTGCTACTCAACTAGTTATTTAAATTAGGTGAGTGACTGCTGGGAAGCATCTAGTATATGAAGGACACTGAGCCTTGAGAACCAGCACAGGTGACAAACTATCTAAACCTAGTGTGGCCAATTCAACAGAAAAACCTGTCTAGGAGATTAAAAACCCAGGTTGTATTTGTCTGGATGGCTTATGGCATATTCACCGAATAAAGTCACTAATTTAAATTTAGACTTGCCGGCTAAATTATGCGTTTGCTAATGCAAATTTGTAAACAGAATACAAGCCAAAAGCTCGTTGTTTTCAAGAATAGGAGGCTCAAAGTGCACTTACTGTACTTCTGTAATCTGCATGTTTGGCGCATTATCGTTCAAGCATGTAATATGTCAATACTGGCTTTCACCAACACTGCTAGTTTAAGTTAATATCGTCTGTGTCATTTACTTGCTCAAAGGTAAAGCTCCCTTAAAAACCAGCAGTTGTTTTCATCTATATGGAAAACTGTAAGGTCAAAATATCGTTCTCATTCAGCTAACCGTTTGGTGGCTTAGCTTGGTTTAGCAGCCTCACGACGTTAGCTAGCTACCAAGAAGGGGTGGGTATGGTGACTGTGGGCAAGTCATGTAAATTACTATAAAATATTATTTCCTAGACAATAACGTTGTGGTGTGACCTTGGCGTCTTTTTCTTAGAGTCAATAAGCGCGAGTTGGCTGTAAAACACCAGAAACGACACGGTTGTGAAGCCGGGCAGGCCCAGCCTCGCTTGTGACCCGGTGTCCATCCATCCAACCAGCAAGCTAACGTGACAGCTACACCGCTTGTCCTCAAGTCTAACAGCGGACCAACCGCCGCGTAGCTTCCTGCTGAAAAACAGTTCTCGCTAAGGTTCAGTGAATTTGTCGACCGCCATAGCATTCGTATTTACAAGTTCAAATATCTGTATCGTGTTTTAGTAGGACATCTGATGGCGAACTCCTTATGGTAGCTGAAATTAGCTAGCTAGCTAGGTAGGTAGGTAGCCGACTGGTAGGCAGGCAGCTTCAGTTGGGGCCAGACTGTCTAACGAGGCCCGCAGACAGTCATTTATTGCGCTGAAACATACTCTGTAAAGATCACTAATACTTGTATTCCCGAGTGAACTCACCTCGACATCGCGCCCCTTGTTTTTAAAGCTCTTGATGCGGTGGTTTTCCAAGCCGGCGTTGTCTGCCATGGCTATGTGGGGGGTGTAGCTCTGACTCCGGCTTACTGTATCTGCTCCGTCAAAGGCACGGCAGCTCCTCTGTTGCTGCTGCTGCTGGTGCTTCCACAGGAGGGGGAGGTAACAGATCGCAGAGTGAGGGGAGGAGTTCCTCCTGCCTGCTGGGCTGCCCTGGTTTCCACTGTTTCACAGAAGCAGGAGCTACTAAATTCACCTGCCAGCAAGGCTGGAGCAGACTTTGAAAGGGAATCCTTCGGATACGTGGACGTAACCTGCAGGTGCAGCTCACTAAATGAGAATCTAATCGAAAAGTTAATTTATTTCAGGAGTTTAATTTAAAAAAGTTAAACATGCATTGAGAGACGAATTTCAGCCATTCTCTTTATTTGAATGTCTATGGCTTACAGCTAACAAGGACCGCTAAGAAAATGACATACCGAGGACAAATTGAAAATGTGAAATAGAAACGTTATTTCCATGTTTTGATCCTCACTATCCTGATGAAGACTGCGGACTCATGAGTTTTAATTAAACTCAGTTCAGTTCAAAAATACTTCAGTTATCCCGAAGGGAAATTAAATGTAGTACCTCATCTCATCCAAGTATTTTCAAAGAAGAAGGCAGGTATGGATCTCCGGAAGCAGTCAGTCTTCCAGGGAATCTTAAGAAGCCTCTGACTGAAGACTCTGTTGCTGACTGACAGTCATGCTTATACCCTAATTTCCAGGCAGCAGAGAGAATATGCCACAGCAACATATCCTGGATGATAGTTGTTGGCAAGCACTGCTAATCCACCTCATTTGTTGACACTCCTCTTTAAATCTCTGTCTGATCATATCAGAAACAAAGGTAAGTCATGAAGTTTCTTGTTAATAGAAAATAAAAAAATTTTAGAATGAAAAAAAATCACAGAGGTGCAATAGCAGTGGAGAAATTCTTAAATTAATACTTTGTTGAACCATTTTTGTATTAGATTTAAGTTTAATAGTCAAGCATTGTTGATTTTGACTGGGCGATATTTGCTCACTCTACCTTGCAAAAGTTGTGCTAATCCTTCAGATTGTGAAACGTTCTCTTGTCCGCAGCCGTCTATCCTCGTGACCCCAAATTTCTGAGCCATATTTAGTTTTGGGCTCTGGCTAGTTCAGCTCAAAACTTTTATGTCCCCCTGATCACATTATTAATTTGTTGATTTGTATGCAAGCTTGGACTCAAAATGATGCTAATAAAATCAAAGCAATCTAAGCTCTTCAGCATACACGAAGCTTCCGAGTCAAAACCAACCAGCATTTATAACGGCTCATATTTTTAATTACCTTAATTTCTCAAATTGTCCATAAGATCCTTTGTAACCTCTCTGAAAAAGGATGGCTGCAGCAAAAATATGCATTTTAGTAAATCCTACAAAGATGGCTGTCGCTAGATCTGGTGTTGGTTAAAATTTAATCAAATAGTGCTTCAGGAAAGTTTCAGATGAAGGGTGCGTAAACTTCTCTAATCAGGTAATTGCATTTTTTTTTCCACATTTCTTTTCAAATTTGTTTTCTAGTTGAATTGTGCAGAATAAATGTTCCATTTAATTTATCATGACCTTATTATACATGGCAAATACCTGGCATTTCAACAGGCATGAACACAATTGTCTATAATGACTGACTTTTATTTTAACTATCCGATAGCTTTAGATGTTTTCTGGTCATTTCAGCTCTCTTATTTTAGTTAGTTTGCATAAAGGAAATCATTTTCCTATTTGAAAAAGTCTGTCATACATAGATCAAATTATCAGTCACTTAAAAATTCACCACGTAAAAATTACACACCACCTTTCAATAAACACAGGACACAAGATATTGCCTCCAAAAACACAAGTTCAATGAATCAATAATATTTGGATTTGTACAGCTTTATTAGTGCAAACAAAGACAAGCATTTGAAATATTTTACTGTCACACCAGCAGCTGGTACGCGTTGCCTGCACAGAACTACTTGATATATTTGTAGATGCATCTCTAATCAGAGACAACCAGCACCAGCTCTCATAATAATCTCTTTGAATAAACAGACTGAGAAAGAAAAGGATTATCAAGAAAAGTGATTTGTAAAGTAATCCAACTATATACTCGTCTATGTAAATCGATTTCCAGCACCAACAGACAACCAAGCGCTGGACGTCACCTGGAATGTGAACTGCTTTGCTAGTGTCAGTCTTTTTAAAACGTTGCTCTCTCAACAAACATTCAAACGGCAATGTGGTATGAAGATGTCCCTACTCTTAAAACAACTCTTAAAACATCCTTTTTCTTTTGCAGCTAAATCTACATGTTTTGTGATGCAGCAGAAAAAAAAAAGACATGCCACTTTGATATGAAAGCAAAATAAATACAAATAAATATGTGATGCATTTTGAGACGTCAGTCGATCCTTCAGAAGGTTAAAAACAGAAAAAGATAGGAATAAAGCAATTTAAAACATGGATTCTGACCCTGAAACCGGGAACATCTCACTGTTGCAACATTTGTTCGGTAACTACACATGGTGGAAGTAAGCAGCAAGTGAAAGTTGTTCTGTTTACGTAGCTCGATTACCAGTGAAACGAGGCGATTATTTTTATTCCTACCTGCACAGACTGCAGCAGCCCACAACAGCAGAGTAATATCAGACATCCCCACTTCTTTAATACACAAGAACAATCCGAAGCAGCAGGAAAAGCCAAGATAATCAACACAAACGACATGAGATGCAGTCAAGTTACACATCAAAATAATAGCCAATCAAAGTCAAACTGTAGTGTCACAGATGGTGCTGTAGGATTTAGAGGAGGGCAGCAACACAGAGAGAGGCCAAGGCGCTCGTTTAGAAGATCTGTTGTTCAAAGAGGATCTTCTCATATCCTTGCGGAGGAGTGTGATAGAAGTCGCTAAACTGGCAGTCTAAGATGGCGCTGTCGTCCACTGAAACCACACGAGGAAAACAAAGGGTCAGGCACTGGACACGTTCACCTTTTGAGAGAAAATTCTCTGACATTTTGCTTGTTCCTTAAAAACTTGGAATCATTGCATTCAAACCAAAGAATACAAGACATTTTCTAAGTAAAAGGCTTGGAACCTTTGCATTCTAAACGTTCAGTTGCTTGGGGAGGATGTGATGATATGATCCTGAGAGCAGATCATCACATTTTGTACTGTTTGAAAAGTTTTAATGGCCCAAACGGAAGACAAAATGGAGAATATGGCCCATAATTTAAACATCTTGTCACTTTAAAACCTCAAAAATACATTCATTTTACTGGGATTTTATGCATCAAATCAACACAACATAGTGGATACTTGTAAGGTGGGAAGGAAAAGATGTGTGGCTTTTACTTCATATTTTTGAAAAGCAAAAATATGCACATGTATTCATCCTCACCGAGGAAACACTTAGGAAAACCATTTTTCATTGTATTTAAAGCTACATGTCATCTAGGGTGCGTCTCTACTGGCCTTGCACATCCAGAGATTCAACTTTTTGACCACTCCTCTTTGCAATGTATCAAGCAGATGAGATGGAACAAGAACTATGACAATTTGTTTTCAAGTTACACATTCCATTTGGTTTCAGGTCTGGACTTTGACTGGTCCGTTTTATTACAAGAATATGCTTTGATCTAAAACCTTTCCAATGCAGCTCTGGCTGTCTGTTGAGGCTTGTTTTGCTAGAAAGTGAACCTCTGCTCCAGTCTTTGCAGCCTCCAGCAGGTTCTGTCGTTCAAGGCTTGAGATATTGTATCCCTGTACGACATAATCTCTGACCTGCCTAAAATACCAATAAAACAAGACAGCTTGAAGTCGTAATGTGACACAATATAGAAAAGGGGTATACTTTTTTTCGTAAGGCATAATTTTATTTTTATGATGCAATTTTGAAAAAACAAAGGGGGGGAGAGAGGGGTAGGTAGAGCTGTCGCCTTCCAACCACAAAGTTGTGTTGGATTCTAACTTCCTCCTCTGCCACATACCTGGGAGCACTTAACCCCAACTGGTTAGCTGCATACTGGTGTATCAACTGGTGGAATGTGGCTCACATGGGAAGTGCTTTGAGTGGTCAATATGACTAGAAAAATACTTTAACATTTGATCCACTTTACAATGCTTTATTACACTAAACTACATAACACATGTGAGTATTGCAATTATTGTTTGGCATAAAATCTGTGCTTTTCCTTCCAACAACAACAAAAGCATCTGCTGGATTAAACACTTTTCTACACTGCTCTGCAGCTTTGCAAATCTCTTGGCGTAGCGACTGACATTTTGTGCAAATAACATTTCAGAGTGCTGAGGAGACGTCACGTTTTTCCTCCAGCTCAAAATCATGCCAAAGTTTAGACGGAGAGATAACCAGTAATCAGTCTGAGCTGTGATGGATGCAGGAGGGACGCCCGAAGATAACAGTTGAGCAAACATCTTAAAAATCACCTTGTTTACTGTCTGAGAGCTACTGTGCCTGAAGCACAGCTTTACAAATAGGAAACTAATTACAGCGAATCTTCTAATGGGTACTGGTTAAGATCACAAAAGCATCCAAAATACAATAATGTGATTATGTGAGCATAAATGCTCTCAAACTATGTTTGAAAATAGGATTTTAATGGATCCTCGATGAGATTGTGTCTTGGAGCACTATTTTCAGTTTGCGGTGAAAACAAAGCAGTTAACCACTGCTGATTGTGAAGCTGATTGTGTTTCAGCTTCACAATCAATTAGTTTTTCCAAGAAACCATGATTTTACCTAATAGTTAAATAAAAATGATTTTATTGAAACAGCGAGATTGAGTGAAGAAATAAAAAAAAAAACTGTGCATATACAGCCCTCTTGTGGAATTCAAGTGTAACTGCAATTTAAAGACAACATCATATTCACCGGCTTAGAACAAAAACAACGCAATTCAAAATCCTAAACTTCCTCCTTTTTGGTTGGGCCTAAATCTTCCAATTGTGCAAAAAATATTCAAAAACATTTGTACAAACCAAGTCACCTCCCTGGTGGAGGAACTTCAATGAAATACTTATGTTTGTCTCCCTCAACAACAGACTTGGCACTTCAACTTACCATAAACAACGGGGTAAACAGTGCCCCGGATCCCTGAGGCAGGACAATGCATGTTCTTTCCATTAAGATACAGGTTCATCTCCACGTGGTCATACGTGATGCCCTGAGAAACAAAAATACATGGAAATTATCTTCATTTATTAAAAGGACAGAACCAGGGATTTAAGATAATGCATTGATAAATGATTCATTTCTCTTGAATTTGTCCACATTTCATACTGTTGATGTGACAGAGCGCTGCACAGCAGCACATTTCTGTGAAGCAGACAGAAAATGAACTACTGGTATGTATCGTCTTCCCTCCACTTCCCCATTGTGCGCTAGTTAGTGTTGGTCCATTCCCTCTAATCCCAGTAAAACACCTTAAGTGCAGCGTAACTAAATGTGAAAAGGTCCAATCGGTCTAAATACTTTCGTAATGCACTGTGTGATGTTTATAGCATTTACATGTAAATGCATACACTGCTACGGGAAAAGTTGTGATTCCTGACACAAAGAATGCAACACTTGCAGCCCATGTGCAGGACTCATCTGTGAATAGCGCCTCTTGATGCCCCCAAATCCTTGAGCGGATTTGCTCGACAATCCTCTTAAGGCTGCGGTTATCCCTGCCACTGTTGCAGCTTTTCAGACCACACTTTCTCCTTTCACTCAACTTTCTATGAATATGCTGAAACTTTTCTGCAATGTTCAAATCTTCTGATTAACTACATTTTTAAGGGTAGTAACAGATAAGACATAGTATCAAAAAAATTACAAGAAATAAATGTTAGAAATCTTTCACTATATTTGTAGTTAATCTATGTAACATTTGAGTTTGAGCTGCATTTGTATGTACAGCATGTTAAAATACAGTCTTGTTCCTGGACATTAGCTCAAATGCAGCGCTTAGTTCATGAACATTTTCTCTCATCTTTTAAAGGCAGCGATAAAACGGATCCACTTCAGCAAATTCAAATATGTTTGAAAAGTTTTTTTCAGGAACTCAGTTCAAAACGTGAAGCCTAAATAGTCTATGGATCCATTACACAGTCAGACTATTTGTTTCTGTTAATTTTGATCATTATGTAAATATCAAAATATTCCCATCCTTCTATGTACAACTAGGTTGAAGTTTTTTTTTTGTTTTGTTTTGTTTTTGCATATTTCTTAATGCTACACTGGTTAATTCACAACCCAGAAATCTTCAAATGCAAACACACACAATGAAGGAAGTGTGTTGCTGCTCTTACCACGATGTCGCCCTCCTGAGGAAGGCTGTTTGCAGGCAAACGATTCTTCTCTTCGTTGTTGTGGTACACCGAGCCATCATGCCGCAGGACTAGGCTGTTTGTGTCTCTGCCCAAAGGCACTTGGTTAAGATTGACTTTCTGAGTGGCCACTCCAATTCCCCACACACCTAAAAAAAAAAAAAAATTTTATATATATATATATATATATATATATATATATATATATATATATATATATATATATATATAT